ATATTTTAAAAATCCTTTTGATTTCTCTCCTCTGGTCTTCCAACCCAGAGTCTATTGCTGCATGATTCTGTCTCCTTCATCCTGTTTGTGTCCCTTATAGATCTTACCAGAATTTATTGAATTGTTTCTCTTACACTGTACCAAGAACTCCAGAAAATCAAGAACTATGTCAATTCTGTTCTAGAGTCTTACTCTTCAAATACGGGGCTAAGTGTGCTTAAAATTTTGAGTCAGAATTGTATTGCTTTCCTGTATTTATATGATGTTAAAAATGCTGGATTTTTTCCCCTAGTTCTTTAAAGCTTATTCTCCTTGTTGATAAAAGTTGGGATAATAATAGTAATATTGTTTGTGTTAAAGGGCTGTGGTGAGTAATTGATAGGATGCAGGTGAAGTGATGGGTACAGCTCCCGAATTGTAGAAAGCAATATTGTGAAAAGGGCTCAGAATGTTAGAGCTAGGAGATGGTCTCCCTCTGTTGGCAGGCCTTGGGCATTCAGATCCTCATTGATATCTTGAGCAGACAGCCGTGTGTTGGACACTGAGCAAGGTGAGTAGCAGCACACATTCCTAAATGGTATACATGAGAGTGCTGCTTTGCAAGACTTGGCTGCCTCTCCCAGTACCAGTGTTGTCTATTGCTCATCTTTTTATTTCCTTTAGTGGTCTTTTTTCCCTTTCATCCAGCTGCTCATAATAAAGCTCAGAATGTTTTTGGTTTTATGTATGACTGGTGGCACAGTATCTCATCAGAAGTGAATTATTTTGGACAAGTAACTTACCTCTCTGAGCCTGTTTCTTTTTGCAGTGAATAGAGATAATGTTGCAGTACCCAGTAAATTATGAAGTCCTATTCATAATGTTAATCTCTTCACATTCGTCAACTTCTCTCCTGAGTTCTAACATTACAGGACAACATTACCTAGTGCCCTTCTTCCCGCAGTTAAGTCCAACTTCCAAATTCTGTTAATGGCAGTCTTGTAGTCTTTTAAACTAAAACCTTTGCCCCCATTAGATATTTCAGACTTAAATTGTGAGCCACATTTTGTCACACATATATTTTTTAATTATTTTTTTATCTTACTGAGTTTATTGGTACTTTTTAAGTACACAGTATAGTTAACATTCATCATTGGGATCTTGTACCTTTACATGACAGATCTTGGTACTCATTTTTTCCCCATACCCTTGTCCTCCGTTCACCCCCTCCACCCTCCCTATTTACAAAGACTTTGTTTCCATTTTTTCCTTTTGTCATATTTTTCCCTTTTCCCTTATTTCCTTTCCCCTACCCTTCCCACTTCTCCTATACCTTTAGCCCCTTTCTTCCTATTTCACATTATCAGTTAAACAGTTTGGATCTTAATTACACTTTCAGTTTTTCACACCAGAAAAAATACTCGGTATTTACACATGTGTGTCTTACTTATTTCACTTAAGAGTATGGCCTCAATATGCATCCATTTTCCTATGAATGACTCTGGTTTCTCATTCTTTATGGCTGCATACTATTCCATTTTATAGGAAAACCACATCTTTATCCATTCTCCACCTGATGGGCAGTTGGGCTGTTTCCAAGTTTTAGCTATTACAGACTGTGCTGCTATAAACATGGGTGTGCATATATCACTGTGGTATGATTCTTTTAATTTGTTTGGAAAGATACCCAGCAGAGGGATAGCTGGGTCAAATGGAACCTCTAGTCCTAGTTCTTTGAGGTATCTCCATGTTGATTTCCACAGTATCACACTTATATCTTAAACACCAGAGCTTTTCTGTTTCCATCCACTGGTACTGTGTGATTACTTTAACTGGTTTGTCTGCCTTTTATCTCACAACCTTCCACCAGAGGAATCTTCTACAGCACAATTCAGGAAAAGTTCCATCCTCTCATCTGTATATGCGAGGACAAGCTACCTACTTTACAAAGTGCAAGAATTAAATGATAGAATGAACATAAAAAGCCTTAAAAATGGAGCTGTTGGGCTGGGGATTTTTAGCTCAGTGGCACCGTGCTTGCCTCACAAGTGCAGGGTCCTGAGTTCGATACCCAGTACCAAAAAAAAAAAAAAAAAAAAAGGAGCAGTTATTTGTTAATTGTTTTAAAAGATGGAGTTACAGAGAGAGAAAAATAATGTGTTAACAAATATAACTAACAAAATCTGTAGTTTCTTCTGTTATGTGTAGTGTAGTTAGGTATGATTTTTAATTATATACATTGTTGCTGAAATCACATTCCTTCTCTACACTTGATCTTAGCCAAAAGGCCAAGAAGTGACTCACATTCCTTCTCTTAAGGAGTGCTAGGAAAAGGAAAACGGGATTCCCATTTATCATAATTAGTACCCCAGGTCCTTTTTCATTCTCTTGAAAATTTGTATGTTTTTAAAAACTAGAGATGATTTATTTTCCCCTTGTGGGAGTTGTAAGTTGAAGAATGGAGGGAGTGTATCTGACCCTCTTTGCTTTTGCCTATGTGAAAAGAGGATGCAGTTGGAAACCTTTATTAGCATCTGCTGTTAATTCATTCTGTGTGCCCATACCTGGAATATCAGTAAGGTTAAATGACTTGTACTTGGTCACACTGCTAGAGAGTAGAAGAGGAATCACCTTTGGAAGTTTTCCCTCAGCCTCTGTCCAATAGTAATTGGGCTATTATTCTCTGAGGAACTGTGGGCTCTTAGGGTTGCACTTACAGACATTTGGCACCAGGTGGCATAGGTTTCTAGGAAAATGAAATGTTTGGATCTCAGGAAATAGTACCAAAGGTAGCATTGATTTTTTTTTTTTTTTTTAATAGGTGCCTACTAGATGTCAGGTGTAGAGACAGGTAAACAGGCATTTTTGTTGTTTTATGTAAGGGGGCTTGTGGTTTTGTTTTTGGTTTTACTCCATATAACCACATCAACTAAAAATTAAAAATACCTACTGAGCCAGACTGGTGGGGCATGCCTGTAATCCCATCTACTCAGGAGGCAGAGGCAGAAAGATCACACAAGTTGTAGCCCAGCCTATACAACTTAATGACTTAATGAGACCCTGTCTCAAAAGTACTGGGGATATGGGTCAGTGTAGAGCAGTTGCCTAGTATTCATAAGGCACTGGGTTCACTATGGGGAGATGTAAAATCTTTCTTACATGAACTCTTCATTGTAAAATATACTGAATGTGAGTGAGTACATGAGAAACTTCATATGAAGCAATATTTTCTGAAGTGAGGCAGTTAGGAATTCACTATGTGTCCACCTGTAGATCCATGGCAAATATTGCAAAAGTCCATAAATTTACCAGTAGTGGGTGTTTTGCTGTTTAAGATGTTTTGCTAAGCCGGGCATGGTGGCGCATGCCTGTAATCTCAGCACTTGGAGCCTGAGGCAGAAGGATTGCTATGAGTTCGAGACCAGCCTGGGCTACATAGTGAGTTCCAGATCAGTCTCAACTACATAATGAGACCATGTCTCAAAAAAAAGTTGTTTTGCTAAATGAAAAATTGTATCAAAATAGCTTGTAACTTTTTATTTTTTGGTACTGGGAATCGAACTCAGGACCTTGTGTTTGCCAGGCAGGCACAGCATTGCTGATGTACATTCCCGGCCCTGTAACTTTTGATATAAATGCAAAATGTCCATTCAAAGCACTTCTAAGGAAGCTTATGGTTATCTGGCTTACTATAGTAATTAGCTGTGTAACTGAGAGACCAGCTTTATTTTCAAAAATACGTATTAGTCTGTAATTGTGTTTCTTACCTGCAGTTGAAGGAGAAAATAACTTTAAAAGTTGTTTTAAGTGCCTTGTTTTAAAAGTTATATTAGGGCCGGGGATTTTTTAGCTCAGTGGTGCTGCCGCCTGCCTCTGCATTTGATCTCCAGTACAAAAAAAAAAAGTATTAAAGATATATTAAAAGATATATTAAGTATTTTTCATACATGTGTTGGAATTTTATGTATTTCAGGAGTCTGGTAGTTGTGAAGTGTTCTTCACTGGTTTGTATTTCCATGGCCTGTATATTAGTTTCAAGTGGCTGCTGTAACAAATTACCTCACATTTAGTAGCTTAAAACAACAGAAATGTATTCTTTCAAAATTCTGGCTACCAGAGGTTCACCATCAGTTTCATTGGGTCCATTTCAAGGTATGGAAAAGGCTGCTGTCTAGTAGAGAATCTTCCTTTGCCACCTCCAGCTTCTGGCAACTGCAGCATTCCTTTCCCTGTGGCCACATCACTCCAGTCTCTTGCCTGTCCACTTCTGTGTGGTGTCCTGTCTCCTGCCTTTCTCTTACATCAACATTTATGATGGCATTAAAGGCCTATTTGGATAATCCAGGATAGTCTTTCATCATAAAATCCTTAATTTAACAGCATTTCAAAGACCCTTCTCCTTATAGGATGACGCTTGAAGGTTCCAGAGATTAGGACCTGGTTAATTTGGGGCCATTTTTCAACCTGCTACAGTCTCTTTAGAATAATTAGATCAATCAATTTACCATGGTCAGTGTTTTTCAATATTTAGTGATAGTATTTCTAGTCATCTTTTTATCCTGAAAGGGCTGTGAGTGACGCACTAAAAAGTATTCTTGGTGTCAGCTAGGTATGGTGGTGCATACCTGTAATACCAGCTGCTTGGGAGTCAGAGACAATAAATTTGATGGTGCCCTGAGCAACTTAGTGTGACTGTATTTCATAAAATAAATGTTGGGAATTGGGAAATGGGAAGAAAGTGTTCAAATGGGAAAGAGAACAAGGAAGGAGGGAGAAAAGAAAGGAAAGGAAAGGGACAAGAAAGTGAAAATAGAAGGAAAAAATGGAAGCAGCTTTTGTATATAGGGAGAGGAGAGGGCTTGCGGGAGGGGGTGGGGTGAAATAAAATAAAATTTATTAAAAGCATAAAAAGGACTGCGCAACTAATTCAGTGGTGGAGCACTTGCTTAGTGTGCTTGACGCCATGGGCTCAATCCCAATCCTCATGGAGGGGTGGAGAAAAGATGTATTCTTGGTTTCAGACTCCATTCCTTTGGTGGTCCAAATGAGGTCATCACCACGTTCTGAGGATGCTTGGGAGAGCTGTTGAATTCACTAAAGGAAAATGTATTTGAGGTTGACTCTACAAAAGCTGAAAAAGGAAACCAGGTATGATACCCTAATAATAACATGGACATTTGTCATTATTTTACAAGTGTACCAGGGACCTATTCTTTGTTACCGAGCTGATGATGCTAGATACCCAGTTAGCATTTGAATAAATGTGACAGCTTCAATGTTACAGTGACAGCTTTGTCTTGCATAGAGGCATAATTGTGAATTTAGAGAAACAATCCCCACAGCTTTTCTCCTTTCATGCCACTAGCACTAGTTAAACTACTCTGGCAAGACATCTAGCTTCTCAAGTGAGGTCTGTTTCTAACTATATTTGTAAGTTGTAAGGTTTCAGTATGAAGATAAATTCAAGGTAGTTTTCTAACATATTGGCAGCTGTCAAACTATATTATACTTATATTGAAATATTGATCACACATGCTTCTGACAGCTTTGCAGGGCTTCTTATTTTACCTAATCACTAGAAGTACTACCTTACGATTCCGTAGGGCCATGGATATATATTATTGATTACAGACAGACTTGGAATAGCCAATGGTAGAATGATTTGGAATTCTTTGATATACTGTAGAATTCTTTTGTAATTTTGGATTTCGGAGAAAGCTCTAATAACCAGTTCATTAGCAGCAGTTAGGTTTGAGACTAGAAGAGGGTATGGTATGAATGGACGGACCTATAGTACTGCAGGCCTTGTGCTGTGTTCCAATGATATGGAGGTGTACCTTAGCTAGTTTACCCTGCAGTGGGGAAGCAAGTATTATAAAATAATAACAGAGAAATGAGTATAGTTATAATAAGCACCATGATGAAAATGTAAGGGGTTAAAGTGAATAAAAAGGACATATATGAAGTTTGGGAAGTGGGGTCGGGCAAGGGTTGGGGAGCAAGTTGACAGCATCTCAAGTGCAAGGGCTCTTCAGCAAGGGCTGAAAGTTTTCATCCTGTTTTACTTTTCCTTTTCACATATGCATCTTTATCTTGCTGTGACAAAAGTAATAGATGTTCATTTTGAAAAGTTGAATATATCCCACATAAAAATTGTGTATTATCTGTCTCCAGAGAAAGCCCTATTAACTTTAGCATTTTGAATTGCTTTCTTGACAAATTGTAGCAGAATCACTTTGAAAACTATTTTGCTTGCTCTTCTAAGTAGAGTTCCTATAAGCCCTTTAACATGCTAGCATCTGCTTTTTAAAGATTTGTGTTTACTTTTCTTTTTCAGATACTTAGGGGATTATTTCACTTTCACTGGATAACTTCTCTAAGATAAACTATAAACTATCTGTAGACAAGTCCAACATGTTAAACTAGTTAGAGAGTTCTTGGTAATGTAACAGGAATTATGTTAAAATTCTTGGTAGCCATTCAGAATCGTTTTAATTTTTCTGACAGATTTTTTAAATCCTGGTTTATGTAAGACATTAAGCAAAAAGCTCCTCTCTTCAAGTTAAAAAAAAAAATGTTGAAACTAGAGTTAAAGTTTGGCACAAGCTTTTTCTTTTTTCTTGTCCCAGGGATCGAACTCAGGACCTTGCACTTGTGAGGCAGATGCAGTGTTACTAAGCTAAATCCCTGTGGCTGGCACAAGATTTTAACTTAAAAATTACTGGGAGGCATGGTGGTGCATGTCTGTAGTACTCTCTAGAGACTCAAGAGGCTGAGGCAAGAGGATTGCAAGTTCAAGGCCAACCTGGATGACTTAATGAAATCCAATCTCAAAAAATAAAAAAGGCCAAAGATATAGTTCAGAGCAAAGGCCCTGAGTTCAATCCTTTGTGTTTGTGTGTGTGTCTGTGTCTGTGTCTGTGTTGTGTCTGCCTGCCTGCCTGCCCCTACTGCCCCCTGCTTCTGTTTCCCTCCGTGCCTCTGTCCCTCTTTCTCAAAAATTTATAATCCTATAAAGGGGTTGTGGAAAGATAGAAGGGTATTGATATTTGTTGAAAAGCTGTCACTGCTGAACATAGAGCAGGCATATGTGATCCAAGGCCATTTGCTGTGAGACAATTCTGCTTTCTTTTGAAACTTGTTTATATTGAGGTGTTTTTTCCCCATGATTATAGATTTCCTGATTATAAAGGGAAGTTTGGGAGAAAAATACTTCTAAGTTATCTCATCCCCTCAAAGATACTGGTGTTGCTGATTGGGAACATATTCTGGTGGTTGAATATGGTGCTTTGTTTTTTTTTTAACCTAAGTGGTGTTATGATTAAGAGTTTCCTTTTTTAACTTTTTTTTTTTTCTTTTTGTGGTACTTGGAATTGAACCCAGGGCTTTTGCACTGAGCTACATCCCTACCCCTTTTTTATTTTTAGACAGTCTCATGAAATTGCCAAATTACCCAGACTAGACTCAAATTTGGGACACTTATGTCTCAAGCTCACATAGTGTAGGCATTATAGACATGTGGCACCACACCTGGCTTCCTTTTAATTCCTTAAATCTTTTCCCCTCTAAATGTAATTCTTATTTTAGCAATTTTCCAGTATATTTTATATTGATCCTGTTGCCTCCTTTTATGTGTGTTTGGTATGTACTTGTGTTGGTTAGCTTTCCTGTCACTGCTACAAAATACCTGGCTTTCCCAAGGAGGAGAGTTTTGTTCGGGTTCACAGTTTCAGAGGGTTTAGTCCATGGCTACCTGACTCCAAGGCAGAAACAGCATGATGCAAGGGTGTGGCGCAGGTAAGCTGCTCAACCCATGACAGCCAGGAAACAGAGAGCAGGGAAAGAACCAGAGAGGTAGGGACCAAGGACCAAATTGAGTCTCCAGTGTCACACCCCCCCATGTCTCACTTCGTCCAACTAGACCCCCCCACCTCCTTATAACCCATTCAGCTGTAAACTCATAAAAGGGTTTAATACTCTGACAATCTAATCACCTCTCCATGAATCTCTTAATCCAGTCAAGTTGATTAACCAGCACAGTTCTAGAATCTGAAATGTGTTTCTTCCTCCACCTGTTGATCCAGTGAAACCAAGGAAGGTGACTTTCTTGTTGACATCAGTGTTGGAAAACCTCTTAGCAATGGTTTTTCCCATCTTGGAGTACAATCACAGAATGTATTTTCTTAGAGTCTGGTTGCATCACTTTTGTGAACAATGACAAAAATAGAAGAAACAAAGTCCTGCACAATTGCCCTGAAGAATTTCACCCCATTCTCACTCTCATATGATCTGTGTCACTCTAATCTGAGGAATTAACTATTAAAAAAATTCTACCACAAATCCTGAAAACCCGCAAGGAAGCCAGAGGTTTGAGAGGCTGAGGCAGAAGGATCAAGTTGGGAGCCAGCTTGGGTAGTTTACCAATATTCTGTCTCAAAAAGTAGAAAGGGCTGGGCATGTAGTTCAATGGTAGAGCATGTACCTTTATGTTTGAGTCCCTGTGGTAGGTTCATTCCCCATTAACACAAAGAACAGCAGCTTTGGGCCAGGGATTTGGCTCAGTGGTTCTGCCGCCTGCCTTGCAAGCACAAGGTCCAGAGTTTCATCCCTGATACCAAAAACAAACAAGGGAAACCTTAACAGCATCTCCAAGAACAGCAACAACAACAAAAAATCCTCTGAAAAGCATACTGATCTCAACTTAACTCCCATCATCTCCTACCCTTCAAATTTAATTTACTTACATCTTTTCTGGCTTGTGAAACTTTTCCTTTTTTGCTATTCCTTCTCTTTCCCTTTGCCATCTACTTCTTAAAAGCCTCCTCTGCCTTTCTCAGTGCACATTTTGAGACGATGTGTCCATTTTAGATGTTCTCTGTGGTTTCTTGGGGGGTGGGGGGGCTTGCACATTGTCAGTGGTGCATCCTGTGCTGGAGTTTAGGCTCAAAAGAGAGATACAGGATGGGCTGGGGATTTAGCTCAGTGGTTCCAGCACCTGCCTCTCAATCACAAGGACCTGAGTTCGATCCCCAGTACAAAAAAAAAAAAAAAAAAAAAAAAAAAAACATGTTGCCTTTTGGGCCTCTGCAGCCTTTACCCAAGTTACCTACTCCTTCCTTGGAACACTGTACCTGGTTTACTCTTGGTTGCCCTCCTCCCTCACTAGTTTCTTTTCTTTGTCCAGTGCTGCTTTCTCCTTAACTTGACCTCTTATTATTAATGAATCCATTTAGTGCTTAGATCTTTTTTATCCATATTCCTTGGTGATTTCATCTAGTCCCATGATGTGAAATAGCATAACTGCTGTGATTCCAGATGTGTATCTGGCCTTGAACTGTAGTCTAGGCCCTTCAGTCCAATTGCCTGCTTCACTTGGGATCACAAATGAGCATGTCAAATGACCAAAACCAAATACCTATGCCAAGACCTCTGCCAAAACCTAATCTGTAGTCATTGTCACCTACTGAAATATTAATTCCATTCTTCTGTTTGAAGGCGCATTTGAGTCCTCTTTCCTCTTACTCCCACAATCTATCTAAGTGCTGTCTGTGAGTCAGACCTTCAGAAAAGATCCTGAAACCAGTCACTTCTTGCCATCTTTGCTGCTGCAGGCCACTAGTTTTGTTTTGTTTTGTTTTGTTTGCAGTTTATTGCATTCCCTTAAGTAGTCTTCCTGTTCCTGGAGATTATTCATAGCTTCATTGAAGCTTTTTTTTTTTTTTGGTGTTTTGAGACAGGGTCTCACTATGTAGTTGAGACTGAACTGGAACTCACTGTGTAGCCCAGGTTGGTCTTGAACTCAAAGTGATTCTCCTGCCTCAGCCACCATGCCCAGCTTGAAGCTACTTTTTAAAAGTATTTGTGAACTCTTCATATAGCAAGCTGCCAATGTGGTGCTTTCTTTAAAACTGAACTGGATCCTGTCATTTCTCTGCTTTCCATGTTACTGGAAGTAAATACCACAGTTTCAGCAGTGGCTTCTGAAACCCTCTGTTTCATGTTTTCTTCTCACAGACTAACCTGTGCCCACCACCCACCCGCACCCCCACTTCAGCCACACCAAGAGCATTGCTGCCCCTGGGCTTGATGCTTACCCTCCCTGTGCCTGGTACATGCTTTCCCAGAGTTCCACTGACTCCTTTCACTTTCCTTAGCTGTTTTAGAAAAGAGCCACCATTAACCCTAACATGGGAACAATCCTTGCCACTATAAACTGCTTAATTTTTTAAAGGTGCTAATATTTACTTGCTAATTATTTAGTAATAAGTTACTTAACTAATTTATTATTTCTTAGTACTTTCTTGCATTAGAATACCTGTATAAGCATGGATGAGGGCAGAAACCTTGTTTTGTTCTTTTCTGTAGCCTCAGTGTCTGCAGCAGTATCTGGAATGTAGTAGATAGCTAATGATTTTCCTGACATTTTTGGGAAATCAGAACAGACAAAAATTTGTAGTTATTGTGCCACTTGGAGCTGCCAGTACTCTAGCTCCAAGTGGTGGCTATAGTAGAAGCTCCCATTACTCTGGGAGGCAGAAGTAGGGAGAATCTCATGTTTAAAACCAGCCTGGGTAATTTTGTGACTTAACAAGGCTAGGGCTATAATTTTAAAAATGGCTGGGGATGTAGCTCACTGCAAAGGCCCTGGGTTCAGTCCCTAGTATAACCAAATGAGTGAGTGAGTGAATGAATGAGTAACTGCCAGTTTCGCATAAATTTGAAGAAGTAATTTTTACATCTAAATATAGCTAGTAGCTAATTAGTTCAGATATTATCAACCAAACCAAGACCCTGGGGTCATCTCTTTGTAAGCCTGCTGTTCCTTGGCAGAAAGACTGCACTCCTGGAGATGGGTTGGTGGGGATAACATGGACAGGCGGACTTGGTGCAAGAGTGGGGGAGTGGTAGCCAGGAAGACTTTAGGTTTTGCTGTCCACGGGTGTCTTTGACTGCTGTTTCTCTTTAGTCTACATTAGTATACACTTAGGTTAGCTTTTTTTTCCCCTTGGTAACTGGGGATTGAACTCAGGACCTTGTAGTTGCAAGGCAGGTGTGGTGCCACTGAGCTAAATCCCCAGCCCAGGTTAGCTTTTGTAGTGCTATAAGGATAGATCACCTTACATTTCCATACTCATCTGGGCAGAACAAGTGATCTGATACTATAATATATATTCATTTTTAAAATTTTATAAGTAGCCCCAAAATTACTGATAGATTTCTTAGAACTGCTTTTATAGAATTTTCATTTGTGAGCGTACATAAAGCTTTTGTCTTAACCGCTATTGTTGTATAGTCACATGGAGAATCTGGTTTCTCTGCTGTTTGGTCATGTGGAGAATCTGGGTCTCTGCTAAGCTGTACACATGTATTGTGTCATGCTAGTGAAGTTTAGGCTCATTCCATGATTGACAGAAGTACCTATTACACTAAAGCAGTGTTGATGAACCTTACAGAGCTCTCAGTGATAACAAACAGCTCGTTGTATCACATGTGCCATAGGTTTGCCACCACTGCACTGCGGGATCTTCAGTTCAAACAGTAATCAGTTGACCACAATATATAAAAGACCCAAGACATAGTTGTTATAGTTTGGATCATTAATGCACATTTAATTGAAATTATGGATAGTTTTAAATGTATTTATGTCTGTGTTCTGTGAACCTGGCTGATATATACTACTGCTGAAATGATTTATTGATGAACTTCTAATTATCAGAAAATGTTATGTTGATATATGTGACTTCCTCAAAGTAATCTTTCTATTCCACAATTTTTCATAAAATTTTGGCATCTGTTTTTACCGTTCTTTATCCTGACAGATGCAAAATGAATGACTAAGCAATTTACAGTAATAGTTTCACAATAGAGTTTGTACTACTTTCAGATCTTATTGACTACTTACTGATTCATCCCTGCATTTTCTGCTTTGTGTCTCGAGTTGGAATCTTGGTTGGAATTCCATGTGATTCTCCAAAGATGGCTTAAATTTCTTGTGTCTGTTACTTCTACCTAAAGTCGTTTCGCTTTTCTGTTCCAAATAGTTCTATTTTATGTCTTATCATTGGGGGAAATTAGGACTCTTAAGAGATTACAAAATGCCTTCAAGTCATTATCCGCAAGTGTGTCTCATATGGGGCATTCTAAGGATGATGTATTCCCTAAAAGTCAAGAAGCACTTCACCTTCTTCTCCTTATGCTTTTTCTCCAGAGGTCTAGAACTGGGAGCTGAGGCAGAAGCACAGTGCAAGTGGTAGGGAAGTCACTGGTGGTAGCAGCTCTGAGTCCTGCCGCTTCTGTACCTGTATGGGAGTTTCTCTCACTGCCCTTAGTACCGTAACCATCTTGAGAAAGAAGATTTGAAGAGTCAGGTGGTAACTTTAGTAAGTTTCAAAAAAATATATATATAGAAATAGTTTCTGTGATGTAGTTTAAACCACGGTCTAATTTACTTATTCTTTCATTGGTTGAGTGCCTCTGATCTATGTGTTATGCTAGAGATAAGAAAATTTGATTTTTGACCTCAGGAACGCTCTGTAAGTAAAGAAAGCAGATGATTAATTATAAAAATAGCAACCTTAAGGGCTTTCACTTAAGTTTTATTTTTTTCTTATTTATTTATTTTTGGTTTTTTGAGACAGGGTCTCACGATGTAGTTGAGACTGACCTGGAACTCATTATGTAGCCCAGGCTGGTCTCGAACTCACAGTGATCCTCCTGCCTCAGTCTCCCGAGTGCTGGGATTATAGGCATGTGCCACAACGCCCGGCTGCTTAAGTTTTATAGTAGGGACATGCAACTGGATTTGGCAGTGAAAGTCAGGGAAAACTTCATAGAGGACCTAAATAACTGAGGTAGGGCTTGAAGTAATTAGGCAAACAAAAAAGAGGTTGTAATAGTCCAGGCAGAGGAGAAAGGTGTAAGAGAGAGTGGTGTGTTTTTGCACAGCTTTCCTGTGACTAGATGCTTCAAAAGTATACTGCTTTTGAGTTCTATGCCTTTTTTTTTTCCCTAAGCATAAGTATATAGTGTTTGATCATCAACAAGAGGTCTTGTATTAAATTTGGCAAATTTTAACATTTGAATAATCTTTAGCTTATATGTGATGTAGTTGTACTTATCCTTTCTTATAAATTAAGCAGCAACATATCTGTAGGATTAAGAGAATCAAAATACGAAGTTGAGTACTAATCATATTTAAATAGAAAAGGACCTAGGAGAAAAGTACATATTAAAGACTATTAAACTATGCTCGATACCATTCAGATACCTTTTACCTTTTACCTGAGCATGTTGCTCAGTGCACATTTTATCCCATAGTAATTCACACAGTCCTGAGGTCAAGTAAAAAATATATGTTTTGTGTCTGTATTGAGTATCATTACACATATTATGTGCAAGTATGCATTTCTAGGAATATTTCAGAATAATTTATCTCATGGAATAGGGGTATATAGCTCAGTGGTAGGGTATACTTTGCATGTGTGAGGTCCTGGGTTCAGTCCTTAGCACCAAAAAAGTTTATCATTTGTACTTTTCTGTGTGATTGTGGAAAAGTAAGAGAAATTGTCTCTTATCTCGTCTAATTGAAAGATCCATTGGCAAAAGTACTGGGTTCTACTTATATCCCTGCTGCAGGCTGATTATGTGGCAATGAGAATGTAGCCCCTGTTTCACTTGTAAGTTGGAACCCATTGTGCTTGTAATCCTAAAGTCCCTTTAACTCTCAGGTTCTATATTTTCATATCTTAGGGCCTTTTTATTCTCACTTTTGCATAATTCCATAATAGAGTGATATCTGGAACATTATTTTCCACATTCTGTTAGGAACAATCTACTCAACCCTCATTTGAAATTGTATGGATCCTCTCACTACCCATACTATTCTTTTTTCAAATTCAGCTAATTAAAATTCAGATAATGGGGATACCTCTATATTACCAGATATATAGCAGTTTTTCAGTTTTGTGGCCATTTGTAAAGTAACAGTAAAGCAAATATTTCCAAGCAGGTACTATTTTGATATCTAAATATTGGTTCTTCATGTACCATAAAGTAACTTCAAACTTAACATCAAAAAAGATGTGAAGTCATTTACTTTCCTTATCCAGGCCCCTCTGTTAAATTTTGTTTGTAAGTTTCTTTATGCTGTAACTGGTGAGTAGTTAGCCTAACAGTTGTCCCTTATCCTGGTAGATAAAATTTTATGTAGGTCCCTTTCCCTAAACTTTTCCTTGGGACAGAGGAGATATAGTAAGGGCTCATAGACTTACAAAACATGTAATTTGAGTAGATTATAGATTTCTGCCTAGGTATCAGCATAATAAGGAGCAAAGATGGTTCTTACCGATTTGTAACTGAAAAGGGTAAATATTTAATGAGCACCTACTATTTGCCAGTCAACTTTTTGTTGTTGTTGTTGTTCCGGGGATTGAACTCTGGACCTTGTACTGGCCAGGCAGGTGCAGCACCACTGAGCCACATCCCTGGCCCTTTGTCAGTCAACTATTTTAAGCACAAGTAATCAACAGGTCCCTGTGTTACTGTAGAATCTGGAGGAGCTGTAGTCCTGAGCATGGCATGATATCATGGTAGTTGGGGGGATAGAGGGTATCATGGTGTCATGGCAAGGTGGACTTTAAGAGTTGAGACATTAATTACTAAGTTAATCTCAATCATATGTATCTTTCATAAGAGCTTAGGTTTCTGTTTAGCATGGTTTTTCATGTATTTACTTCTCCATTTTTTGTTCTTCATGTTTTGTTTCCATTAGGAGAGAACATTGAAATTATTTTCTAAGCTATTTGAAGAGAGAGACTAAATGCACCTGGGTCAGGCTGTCTGTGGGTATGAAGTGGTTGGGAGAATCCAAGAACATGGTGGTGAATGGCAGGAGAAATGGAGGCAAGTTGTCTAATGATCATCAGCAGAACCAGTCAAAATTACAGCACACAGGCAAGGACACCTTGAAGACTGGCAGAAACACAGTCGAGAGGAGGTCAAGCAGATGTATGTACACACTTAACTGTCACTCCTTTGATTGTGATATGGGATGGTAATTCTTGCCAGTTTGTGACTTGTGTTTTCTTTTGTCATCAAAACAATTTTATACATTCTCCTAGTTAACAGTATAGTTTTTTATTCTCAAAGTTACCAGTTTTTGTTTTTATCAAACAATATGTAAAACAGGTTAATGCTTTATATATTAATCATGCTTTTCTATTGATAACTTTGTATTTATAGAATTTATACCTGAATAGTTGATATGTTCTATAAAAAATGTAAAGATACCACAGCTGAATTTCTGATAAGTTTAAATTGCATTTTTAATATTTTTCCATGTAAGTGTAATTACTTTTTTGGTAACTTCTATAAATGTTTCATGGAGTAATATAAATAATGAAGTCACCGTAATTTATGGTGAATAGAATGGAGGACAGATAGAACTGATTGCTTAAGGGCATCTTTGCAGATCACAGTCTGTTTATATAGTGCTTATAAGTTGCTTTATTACCACTGTACTTGGAGGCTTTTTCTGTAGGAGTAGTAAGATGCCTGAGAATAGGTATAAATACAAGTAGGCAGTTAAATGAAGGTTGTCTAAAAGTGTGTACTTGACAACATTTTCAAGAGTTTAGAAGACAACATTTTCAATTTCTGCTTTTCCTAACAATCTACCCACTGTTGAATATTCTGTTTGTATTAGGATTAACCAATACCCAGTGGTTTGGATTAGTCTAGGGTTTTCTGCAGTTTCAAATAGATTGTACAGTTCTGATCCTTACCTTTTAGGAGATTTGTTATTCTTAGGCCCTGGCTGCCCTTACTTTTTCATATCAGATTAGGTCACTGTTTCTGTGGAGAACCAGTCACAGTTCCTGTTTAGTATAAGAATAAGAGAGAGCCTGTTGCATATGAATGCTCGTGCTTCTATTCTTAGCTACGTAGTAGGGTAAAGCAGGAGGAGAATCACAAGTTTGAGGCCAGCTTAAGTTTGGGCAATTTAGTGAGATCCTGTCTCAAAAACAAAAAGGATACAGCTCAGTGGCTTGCATGAGACCGTGGGTTTAATTCCCAGTACTGCAAAAAAAGAGAGAGAGCCCAAGACTGAATGGGCTGTCTTCCATGTGGACACCAGCTCACCTCCCCCAGTGCTGCCATCAGCATGTGCCATCTTCCTCTTATCCCTTAGCATTTAGTGGGAACCTAAAGGCTTGAAAAATGTGACCAAATATGATAAAATTGAAGGGAAAAATGGACAACTCAGCAATAACTTGGATCCTGTAATATTCCATTTTAATAATAAAACAAGTAGACAGAAGATCAATAAGTAAAAAGTGCATTTAACCTTATAAACTGCCTAGACTTAGGGATATCTGTAAGGATGAATGCTATGCTGTATCAGTAGAGTGCTATTCCATTCAACAGTAGCAGAATGAATGCACATTATTCTGAAATGCACATGGAACATTCTCCAGGACAGGATACATGACAATCCCCAATAAACTTAAAGAATTTGAAATCATTAAAAAAATGTTTTTGCTGGGTATTTGGCTCAGTGTTTCCACTGCCTGCCTCACAAGCGCAAGGACCCGAGTTCAATCCCTGGTACCAAAAAAAAAGTCTAAGCCGGGCATGGTGGTGCATGCCTGTAATCCCAGCACTTTCAGGCTGAGGTAGGAGGATCGCTGTGAGTTTGAGACCAGCCTGGGCTACTTAGTGAGTTCCAGGTCAGTCTCAACTACATAGTGAGACCTTGTCTTTAAAAAAAAAAAAGTCTAACTACAATGGAGTAAAATTAGAAATCAACAATACAAAGAAATTTGAGGATTGTCCTAAATACACAAATTAAGCAACATGCTACTAAATTAGCGGATCAAAGAAATCAAAAAGAAAACCAGAAAACACCTGAAGATGAGGATAAAACTTATAGAATGAAGCTAACACAGTAAAACAGAAGGAAATATATAGTAGCTATAAATACCTATATTAAAAAAGAAAGATCTCCTATCATTAACCTAACCTTCACTATAGAATACCAGAAAAAAGAATGAACTAAACACAAAAATTATAGAAATTATTGTTGAAATAAATGAAACACAATAGGAAAAAGAGAAGATAGGAAACTAAAAGTTGATTTTTTTGAAAAGATAACAAAGTCGGCAAACCTAAAGCAAAACCAAGAATAACAGAACTCAAATTACTAAGTCAAAAATGAAAGACAGGAGACATAACTACTGCCTTACAGAAATAAAAGGTGATACAACAATGCTATGAACAATTGTATATTAAATAGATAACTTACATAAAATGGACTAATTCCTAGAAACAAAACTACTAAAAATAATTCAAGAATGGGCCAGGGATTTAGCTCAGTGGTTCTGCCTCCTGCCTCACAATTGCAAGGTCCCGAGTTTGATCCCTGATGCCAAAAAATAATAATAATAATTCATGAAGGAATTTTTAAAAACCTAAATAAACATGTATGGCAAATAAAGAGATTCAACTATTAAAAAGAAAAAAATCCGGCCGGGGATTTGCCTCATTGGTTCCACTGCCTGCCTCAAGCATAAGGGCCCAAGTTCGATTCCTGGTACCAAAAAAAGAAAAAAAAAAACTGCTCAGAAAGAAAATAATCAGGACAAGATAGTTTCATTGGTGAATTCTCCAAGATGTCTACAGAGTTAATAACAATTTGTCACATACACTTTCAAAAAAATAAAAAAACACTTTCTACATATCTATTATCCTGCTTTCATAATCAGACATCACAAGGAAATTACAGGCTAGTATCTCTTATGAACATGGACACAAAAGTCCTCAGCCAAATCCAACAGCATATAAAAAGAATTCTGTACCTTGACCTAGTGGGATTTATTTAAGGCATGTAGGATTGATTAAACATTTGAAAATCAATTAGAATAATAAGCCATATTAATGGAATGAAGGACAAAAAAATATCATTTCAATAAATGCAAAAAAAAAAGCATTTAACAAAATCCAGTATACGTTCAGGACAGGAGGTATTGAACTAGGAATAAAAGGGAATACCACTACCTGATAACATTCTTTTTAAAAACCAGAATTATAATATGTAATATGTCTTACTTTTCCCGTAAGACTCAGGAACAAGATTGAGATATCCATTATCAACACTTTTCTTCAGCATTGTACTGGAGGTTCTAATCAGAGCAGTTATGCCAGAAAATGGACTAAAAGGCTTCTAGATTAGACAGGAAGAAGTAAAACAATCTCTTATTTTGCAGATAACATGATTACATATATAAAAAATCCCGAGGAAGCTGGGCATGATGGCATGTGCCTGTTAATCCCGTCCCTAAGGAGGCCAAGACAGGACAGTCACAAGTTCAAGGCCAGCTGAGGCTACATAGTGAGACCTTACCTCAAAAACAAAACTCTATCGGTGGCCTGCTTTGCAAGCACAAGGATCCGAGTTCAATCCCCGGTACCAAAAAAAAAAACAAAAAAAAAACCCTCTGGCTGGGGATGTAGCTAAGTGGCATTGCGCCTACCTGGCAAGCAGAAAGTCCTGAGTTCAATCTCCAGTACCAAAAACAAAACAAAACAAAATCTGAGGTGTTCACTTTAAAGATTAGAATTAATAAAGTTAACAAAGCTTGAAGAATACAATATCTGTATTAAAAAATCTGTCATATTTTTATACACTTGGAATGAACAATCCAAAAATGAAGTTATAAAAAAATCTCATTTACAGTGGCATGCACATAAAAAAAGTTTTACAAAAGTGTGAACTCTGAAAATTACAAACCATTTTGAAAAATTGAGTAAGACCTAAGTAAGTGGGAAAACATTAGATGTTCATTGACTAGAAGATTTAATATTAAGATGGCCATACTCAAATCTATAGATTCAGCAAATCTTTATTAAAATGAAACTGGCTCCAAATGACAAGCTGATCCTGAAATACAAAAATTCAAGAGACTTGAAATAGTTAAAATACCTTGAAAAAGAACAGTTGGGAAACTCACACTTCCCAGTTTAAAAACTGCCCATAAAGTTGTAGTATGTACGACAGTGATGATTGTCATAGACATGTAAGTCTATAAAATAGAATTAATCCAGAAATCATTACATTTTGACCAACTAATTTTTTTTTTTTACAAGAATGCCAAGAGAATTCGGTGGGAAACAGTAGTCTTTTTTAGCAAATGGTGCTGGGACAATTAGAAATACATGTGCAAAGAATGAAGTTGAACTTCTATCTCATATAAAAATTAACTCAAGTTGAATCAAAGATCCCAGTGTAAAAGCAAAACCTATAAAAATCCTAAGAAAACAAGTATAATTTTTCCTGACTTTGGATTCAGTAATGGTTTTTTAGAAGTGATATCGAAACATAAGAAGTAACAAAATTTGATCAAAATTGCAAAATTTCTTCAGGAGGCATTCACTGTGAGGAATATGAAAAACAACCACAAAATGAGAGGAAATATTTTCGAATCATATATCTGAAAATGGCCTAGTATCTAGAATACATATAAAGAACTCTTTAAAGCCAGCAATGAGACAAAATCCAGTTTTAAAATGGGTAAATGATCTGAATAGACAGATTTCTCCAAGGAAAATAAAGGACCAAGAAGTATTGAAAGAGATTTTAATATAATTAGTCATCAGGAAGTTTAATCAAAACTACAAGGTACAAATTTACAACCAGTAGGATATCTTGAATCAAAAAGATAACTGGTATTGAAAAGAATGTGGAGAATTTGAAACACTGTTGGTGGGAATGTAACCCCTACTTTTTTTTTTTAAATTGAATTTATTGGTACATTCTAGGTAGACAGTACAGTTACATTCATTACTGAGATCTTGTACCTTTACATGCCAGGTCTTGGTTCTCATTTTTTCCCTTTGTCCCCACCCTCCCTTCACCCCCTTCTCTGCTCCCCACCTTTGTAACCCCTACTTTTAAAAACAGTCTGGTAGTTCCTCAGTTAAACATACAGTTACCATTTAATCCAGCATTTCCAGCTCTAGATAGAATTGAAAACAATGTGCACAGAACAACTTTTTGAATGTTTGCAGCAGTATTATTTATAATATCCAGATCCACCAAGTGGCATGTAGGTAAAGAAAATATGATATATATCCATGCAATGGAATATTATTTGATCATAATAAAGAATGAAGTACTAATGCATGGTGTAAAATGAACGAACCTTCAAAATGATGCTGAGTGAGGGGCCGGAGATTTAGTTCAGTGATGCTGCTGCCTGCTTTGCAGGAACTCAAGGTGTCCTGAGTTCAGTCCCCAGTACAAAAAAAAGTGATGCTAACTAAAAGAAGCTTGTCATAAAATGTCACATATGTCTGACTCCATCTATATAAAGTTTTCAGAATAAGCAAATTCAGAAAGTAAATTAGTGGTTGTTAGGGTCTCTGCAGGAAGGAGGAGTAGGTAGGGAATGTTTATGGAAATAGAATTTCTTTTTGAGGTGATGGTTGCACAACTCTTATGAATATGTTAACCATTGAATTACACACTTTAGATGGGTGAATTGTTCACTAGGTGAATTATATTTCAGTGAAGCTTTTAAGAAAATGTAACAATTTCAGAGCCAGGGGTGGTGGTACATAACGATAATGCCAACATTCAGGAAGTTGAGGCAGGAGGATTACGAATTTGAGGCTGACTAGACTATATAGCGAGTTCAGGACCAGCCTGGACTACCTATCTGTCTCAAAGAAAAAAAATTATTTTGATAGCTTTTCACATGCCTACATGCAGATAATGTCATTGCAAAATCATGTACCTGCACTTGTCAGGGACCTGCATGTGTTTATTTTGTTTCATGAAAGAATAGATGAAAAGAAAGTTAAACCTCTCACTGTGTCTCTCATTCTTCCATGTCTTAATTTTCAGAGTCTTAAAGTTATGCTGGTGTCCTATAAATCATATATGCTAATTCCATGAAGATACTGTCAGTGATGTGTGCATCAAACTTAATCAACTGTAATGTAACTTAATCTGTATAAATGTAGCTTTCTTTACATTGCTTTTCACAGTTAAACCCAATTATTTCAGTTACATGTTTCAATTTCTACTTTTATCTATTAATTGAAAATTATTTCGAATAGAGAAATAGGACTATCACTTCTTTTCCTACTTCTGCTAGCTACCTCTGTGATCATAAGTTTTTGAACCTCTCAACCTAAGTTGCTACAAAGTGGAGATAATCACTCAGTTATCCAAAAGCAAGAAGCTGAACTCCATGACATCTTTTGGGCTTGAGGTTCAGTTTTAGTCTTTCCTACAGAAACTTCAGAAATGATCTTGGGTTCTTGTTTTATTTCTTACCCCAGTTCTATGTGTAATGGCCCTATATGCCATCTCATTAAAGTAACAAACATCCTTCCATTCCATTTCTTTCCTGTTCTTTGGAGGGGAGAGTAAATCACTTGAACCAAAGAGTCTTCCAACTACTCAGACCCTATTCTTTAGAAACCTGATATCATCTGCTACCCAGAATATTCTCATTAGTTGGTTTCATTTACTCCATCTGGTTCTCTTTTTTAAGCAAGGATATATTATTTTCTTAATTACTAAAACTGATAAAAATAACTAATCTTAGTTCTTGTGAGCTTGAATGGTCTGCAATTTAAAGGATTTTAAAGGTAAATTTACGTATTTTACAATTCGAGTTACTTTTCTTTCTTTTTGCTTTTCACAGGTAATGGTAATTCAGGATTTGAAGGACAGAGTCGTTATGTGCCATCTTCTGGAATGTCTGCCAAGGAACTCTGTGAAAATGATGACCTAGCAACCAGTTTGGTTCTTGATCCCTATTTAGGTTTTCAAACACACAAAATGAATACTAGGTAATTTTAAGTTTTTAACCTAAATGGAACAGATTTAACAAAACAGATGGTTTGCTGAGTGTGGTGGTACACATCTGCAATCCCAGCACTGTGGGCAGCTGAGGCAGGAGGATAAAAAGTTTGAGCCAAGCCTGTGAAGCTTAGTAATTTAGCAAGACCCTGTCTCAAAAAGTAAGGTGAAGGGCCACGAATTTAGCTCAGGGGCACCATGACTGCCTTGCAAGTTCGATCCTGGTACCCCGCCCCCCAAAAAGAGGTAGCTCAGTGTGAAGACCCCAGGTTCATTTTCCAAGTACTGAAGAAAAAAGACAAAGAAAAATAGATGACTAATTTTACTTTTGTTCAAAATTTTAAATGACATGAAGGTTTTTTGCTATAGATACACTTTCTTTGTGAGCCAAGAGAGGCAAACAAAGCCTCTACAAGTTTTTGTCAGTTTTAATTCCATTTTACCTCAGAATATTTCTGTTAAAATGTTAAACTGGAGGAATAGCTTCATGTTTTGTTTTCAGTATTGATAATTATTTTAGTTAAAGTAAAATCTTGCAAGTATCCTGTAAAACCTTGAAAATGCATTATTTTTTCTAACTTAAAATAAGGTGCATCTTTTTTTTCATGATTTTTTTTTTTTATTGAATTTATTGGTACATTCTAGGTAGACAGTACAGTTACATTCATTACTGGGATCTTGTACCTTTACATGCCAGGTCTTGGTTTCATGATTTTATTATAGACTTAAAAGTAATTGCCACTGAATGTAGGGAATTTTGGCTTCGTGTATAATCTTTGCTATGCAACTAATTATTACAAATTAAAGGAATGTTGTAAAGACATTTATAGTCAATATGCAGTAAGAAAAGATGTTTATTTAGTATCATTTGCTGTATATATAAAATGATTATACCCATCTTAATCTCTCATCCTTTAACACTTGAATATTACCTCTTAGAATAAGATCCCTAGATTGATTGTTTGTGCCACCAAGCAGGAGGTCATAGGTTTGCAACTTTTCTTTATCTTTTTGCTTCTGTGGCAAAGGGTTTTGAGTCAGGTAGGGAGCACGCCAGCAGAGATTTAGAATGGAGAGCCAGTCTTGGCTAGGGTTAAGGTTCCTTCTCATCCCATCATACTCACTGGCAGTTTTTACCCCGATGCCTGTGACAACCCAGGAGAATTCTAGATGGATGGACACTGACAGTTGGGGAGATGAGAAATGGTGACTCCAGGTGACCAAGAAAAGTCTTTTGTCTCCCTTTTTTTTTCCAATTATTAATACAGTATTTATCTTCCCTCTCTCAAACCCTGAGCCAGTCACTTTCCCCGGGCAGCCTGGGGAAGTATATGGGAAGGAACATATAGGGCAGAGGAGACAACGGGAGGAAGAACTATGTGAGGTGGAGACAGCTCCTTAACGTGGTGAAGAGGATGAGAAAGGCCACCATCAGGCAGAAGAGTCCCATGGCCTCTGAGAGGGCAAAGCTCAGAATGGTGTAGGAGAAGAACTGCTGCTTCAGAGAAGGGTTCCTGGCATAACCATTGATGAGGCTCCCAAACACAGTCCCAGTCCCAGCCCCAGAATAAGCCATCCCGTCCTTGGCATCCCCAGCCCCAATGAACTTGGCTGTTGTGTCGATGTGCTTGAAATGATGCAGGTTTGGAACCTGCAGCTAGGGTCAAGTGAGGTCAGGGGACGAGGGACTGCAAAGCTGCTGAGGCGCTCATCTGCCCATGTCCTTGTCTGTTCAGCACCACTGCAGACAGTGGCTGTCTCGGCAGTGGGGAGGTATTCTGGACCAAGGAGCAGGTGGAGACAAATCTGGAGCAGGCATACATTTTTAGCGGGTGAGAGGCCGTGGCAGGGGAGCTGCTCCCAGGGCAGAGAAGACAGAGGACTCTTTTCCACCTTGTTAATTTTTCCCTTACTGACAAGGCACACTATACTTGATCTATCCATTATATTCTAAGTCCAGAAAGGAGTAGTTCAGGTATTTTCATATAATTTCCTGTTGTCATGTATCTTTACTCAATAAAATGAAGTGAAACGTTGGAATAGAGCTGAGAGATTATCTAAATAGTTTCCTGTCAGATTACTGGCTATTCTCTGGAAAATCAGTAAGATTGGTGCCCTGATGTCCAACTAAGATCTAGTTAGTTTACATTATTATTTAATTGCATTTCTTTTTTTCCCCCCACTGAATGTAAGAAACCAGTGCTCATTCTCTACCTCTTAAACCTAGAAGATCTTGATAGAATTTTAACTGAATGCCATGGTACATGCCTGTAATCCCATCAGGGCGATTGCAAGATTGTTCCCAAAGTGGGCAACTTAGCTAGTTAGCATGACCCTGTCTCAAAAAATTAAGTGGGGGGTGGCTAGAGATGTAGCTCAGTTCAGAGACCCTGGATTCAATCCCCAGTAAAGAATTCTAACCATCCTTTAGCCCCCCACTCTCCCCCCCCGAGTTAAAAATATAACTATGTGAATTATGTTTTGACACAAAAGTCTAGTGGCCTGTTGGATACCACTGCAGAGATCCACCATATTGGCCTGAAGTCTTTGAGAAAGTTCTGTTGATTGTGCCCCGTAAACTGAGATAAAGAAACATAAAAAACATTTTAGATTATCCCGTTAAAATTACAATACAAGTTTTAGTGGTCTACAAAAGAACTTTTTACATTCTGAAGCCCCTGTACTTTATTCCAGAGGATTAAGGGTTACCTGGTAATGGCTTTTGTAAGAAAAAAATCCTGCAGTTTTTTGCGTATGTCCTCCCAAACCATTATTGGTCACTCTTAGTTTACATATGAGTCCCTGAGAATCTAGTTAAAATGAAGATTGAGTCAGTAGCTTGTGGATAGGTCCCAGGATTCAGCATTTCTAACAAGCTCCCATGCTGTATTTGAAATAATTAGTTCCAAACCAATCTGGCTTGTGAGTTTCATTGTGATGTGATAAATGGGTTAAAAAGTTCTTATCTATAGTTTCTGAAAACTCAAACCAGATAGTCATAAAATGTAAAGTTCAGAGGGGCCAAGGGTGTATCTCATTGATAGAATGCTTACCTAACGTACAAGACCCTGGGGTTCATTGTCCACTACATGAAATAAATACATAAATAAAATGTGAACTAAAGGATTACCACACAAATGTTAAAACTCAGGACCTTCCTATATCTGAGGACGCCTAAACTGAGTCCTGTTCTACAGAGATTGAAGCCTCTCAGCCTTTTGGCTAAGTAAAATTAAAGATGGTTAAACAAGGTAAACCTACAGAAGGTATTAATTCATGTTTTTGAGGGCAACATTTAATTATACAGTTCCCTAAATAGCCTGTGATGGTGTAGCCAGGCCTGTTACTGTTCCACAGATGGAGCAGGTTGGCTCTGCATCACCATGCCAGTTTGGTGGTACAGGTGCCATCTCTGCCTCCTTTCACTGGAGCTTTCAGTTCACAGGTGTCTCAGCAGAGTCCTGTCAGAGGGCATTTGGGAACACAGACTTTTCTGTCTGTGTCAGACAGACACAGGAAGTCAAACCCAAAGTTGGAAGTCAAACCCAAAGCTCACATTTGGCTGGCAAATGTTCTACACTACATCCTTAGCCCCACAGAAACTTATAAGTTTGTTTGCCTTAGTGAAAGGTACATGTTTTCTTTTCTTCTTAGTGGACTCACTTCAAAATAAAACTAGCTCGTCATCTTTTGAGCAACAATTTGCTGTAATGTTGACAGAAATCGTTTCATAGATAATAAAGAAAATCAATATTGGAGTGTAAAAAAATTCTTCAGTTATTAATTTATAGACCTCAATCTTTGGGGTGCAAAGGAAGTGATTGAGAGACTTAATGGATCTTGAATTTTAATTCTGCATGCTATTAATTGTTCAGTGGTTTTCCTTGTTCATGTTTATACACCTATAATTTGTCATTTTTTATTAGTTTCTCTTGGATAGCCTTTTGCTTCCTTCTTTCAGTGGACCTCCAGTAATAGTGTATTGTTTTGTTTTGTTTTGCAGTACTGGGGATCGAACTCAGGACCTTGCATTTGTTAGGCAGGTGGCAATGCTACTGAGCTATATCCTTGGCCCCTGGAAGTTTTTTTTGTTTTGTTTTTTGGTACCAGTGTTCAAACTTGGGTCCTTGTGCTTGTGAGGCAGGTGGCAGAACCACTGAGCTAAATCCCCAGCCCTAGGAATAGTGTTTTAAAAGAAGTGTTCAAACGGGTCCTTGTGCTTGTGAGGCAGGTGGCAGAACCACTGAGCTAAATCCCCAGCCCTAGGAATAGTGTTTTAAAAGAATAGATATTAAATGATTTGGCTGAGTGCTTATGTTTGAATTTTACTATATCCCAATATTTACCAACAAGAGTTATAGAATGAGTACTTAGTATAAACACAATAATAGGAAAAATTTGGAGTTAGTTACTTTTGTCAAGTGTGCAATTTAAATTCTTTTTAACAAAAATTCTTGATAACACCTCTGATTTTAAAAGGAATTGGAAGCTGGCTGTGACCGCGCATGTCTGTAATTCCAGCACTCGGGGCTGAGGCAGGAGGATCACCATGAGTTCGAGGCTGGACTTCATTGTGAAACCCTGTCTCAAAAAACATGGAAGGAAGGAAGGAAGAAAGTTGGGGGCAAGATGTTGTAAAGGCAGGCTGGATGTTTTCAGTAATGCGTCATTGTTTAGGCAATGTGACCTTGAGATTTGATGATGACTAAGTGCAGGAGACTTATGCAGGCAGTAGACTGAGGAGATAATGTTATAAAGCAAGAGTCATTTCAGGGTACTTCCTCTTTTTTTAACTTTTCTAATTCAAATGGCAATTTGTATAGTCCTTACCTTCCACCATTATAACTGTCTAATGTTTATTTTACTTTTATTTTTGTGGGATATGAATTTGTAAATCACTTTAAAATTAGGTACTTGACTAGAATTTGTAAAGAAAATTTTCAAACCTTCTGACTTAATACATGGGAAAAGAATTCTAACCTGTCATTGCTATCCTTCTGAGCCTACCTGTGGCTTCATGAAGTTCTTTTCTTTCTTTCTTTCTTTCTTATGAAGTTCTTAATTATCAGTATTTTAAAAGAGTTTTGTTACAATTAATCTTGTAAGCCTGTTTAGAAATTACAAATATAAATTGTACAAGTAGTTTTTTATTGTTAATTTGTTTTTGCATTTATTATAGCACCTTTACTTCGAGGAGCTCAAGGCATTTTTCAAAATCTGACAGTTTTCCTCACAACAACCCTGTGAGGTAGGTAGAGTGCATCACAAACAGTAATAAGATACCAACTAACCTGTTCCAGCCTGTGTAATGTTCTGAAATGTTAATTTGAGGTGTCAGCAGAAACATGAGTGTTAACAAACCTTTTAAAATAGTTTGGCCTTAGTTATATTTAAAACAAAGACAAAACTTGTGCTTTATAACAGGATCATTTTAAAAGAAATTTCTTTCATCAAAAGATAAGGAATCATTCTATGGATGAGCTATGCATTGATTGCGAGACTCGGCCAGGTATGGTTTTGGTTGTTTATTTTCAGGTCAAGAAGGAATGGAGAGCTCTGGTTTTATGACTTCTCTGTGAATACAATTTCAGTTTCAGTGCAACTTCATTCAGAGGGGGAAATGTATTTACTGTTTCCATTCTTTATATCTTAAATATTTGAGCATTGTCTTTTTCTTCTTCTCTCCCTTTCTTCTTTTTTTTTCTATTCCCTTTCCTTTTCCCCTGGACCCCTCTAGTCAACTCTTGGTTATACATACTAATGGAAGGGCACAGTAGTCAGCTAATACAAGTCTGCAGCTTTTCTTCATTGCCACAGTGGTCTCTTGGGTTTGGAGACAGAAAAACTAAATAGCAAGAAAATCTGGGAAGTCAGTCTCTGGAGGGGGGGCGGGGAAGGTGTGTAGGAATGTGAGTTTGTATGTTTTCTTGCCCCTTTTAGTAAAAGCTGATTGTAAATTACTTTTCTTTTTTGGTACTGGGGATCAAACTCAGGATCTTGCGCTTGCAAGGCAAGCAGCAAGCAGAACCACTGAGCTGAATCCCCGGTCCTACTTTTAATTTCTTATACCAGCCATTGATGAGAGGCATAGGAAGAGAAAAAATGTTTGACTTATTTAAAGTAGCAGATCTTGTGTTAATAGCGGATAGGGTAGGGCATATTGTTTTGGAAATACCAAAACCCTCTCTTGCCCCCCAGCATCTCACCCCTATACTAAATTAAAAATCTAGAATCTTAGATCTCAAGCCCAAATACTTGGGTTGGGATGGTGGCACCTTCCTTAATCCTAGCCACTCAGGAGGCTGAGGAGAAGGGTCACAAGTTCAAGGGTAGCCTGGGCAACTTAGCTAGACACTGTCTCAAAATTTTGAAAAAAGGCCTGGGAGATCCTGGGTTCAGTCCGCAGTTTAAAAAAATTTTTTTTCATCCCTTTCACTGTCAGTGTATAAGCCAGAGCTATTTCTCTCTGGTGCTCAGTGGCAAACACAAGTCAAAGATTTTTCTAAACATGAAGTAACACAGAGGGCTCTCTTAGGACAGGCAGCAGAGCAGAGAGAAAAAGCCTGAGTAAAAAAGTTGCTAAGTCCTTGGCCAACTAATTATCCTTGTTGGGCCTTATTTATTTTTAGACCAAAAGGATTGTTCCAGATAATCTGTAAATTTTACATATCGTAGTATGAAGTTAGCTTTATGGAATTTGGAAGATTTAGAATGATTATGTTGAGAGCAGAGAGTAGTCTTCTGTTTAATAATGGAAAATTATTTTTTTTATAAGATCCTCAGTGGCTTTTGCTCTGGCCCTAAGAACTTTAGCAGTCTTATGTTATGAAAATAATTTTTATTTCTCACAATATTTGTTGTAAATGAGATTTTATGTCTATTGTTAACCCAGTGATTTGTATACATTTTACAGGAAAATTGAAAACAAGTGTTTGTACCCATAATCATTTTCTTCCTCCTTTCCCTCACTATCATTTCATATAGCAGCCATCTGTGATAATAGGTTTTAGCATTTTGGGGGCAAAAGAAAATACATTTTAAGTGAAGTAGAGTGAGTAGCAGACTAAGTCTGAAGTTGTAAGACTAAGTCTAAGTAGTAGTCTTACTAGTGAGTAGCAAGGGATATAGTTTTATAAATTTGGTTTGTGTTGGAGGCAGAACAAGTCAGAAAAGTAGAAACAAGCTCAGGGGTGAGGCAAAATACTATGTTACTATTATATTTTTGTTGTTTTAGCATTTAAGTTATTTGGCATAAAGAATAAACTAAGGATACCTGAGAAATGTTTTTAGATAGGAAGAAATGTGTTTCAAAAAGCATAGAATACACATAAAGCCTATTAAAAATATCTGACATCCATTCCAGATCAGTAGCTTATTTTTCTGAAAACTAACCTTTTAGGTGAGTTTAGCCTTGACTCTCTTTATTATATGTTGAGAGATGTAATTTTAGATTTGGGCATTTTGTTTATTTGTTTTGTTTTTGTTTTATCCTGTGCTGGAAATTAAACCCAGGGCCTCCCCACATTCTACACAAGTGCTCTACCATTACACTATATCCCCAGTCCCATCTTATTTATTTTATTTATTTATGGTTTTTTTTGGTAGCGGGGATCAAACTCGGCACCCCATGCTTGTGAGGCAGGTGGTGGAACCATTGAGCTCCCCGGCCCTCCCATATAATTATTTTTCAATAAGTCATCACCATTGGTCAGTTCCACATCAAACATCTAAAGATAGTTGGCTCCTTCTATTTTTTGTAGTCCTGCCACATAATATTGTGGATAATTTATTGTGTCTACTCCGAGTGATCTGTGACTTCCTGATTACTGTGTAAGACATAGCTTATCTATTTTCTACCATTTCGTATTTTATATTGCTTGAAGTCTTATGTCTTAGCTAACAACTGCTTTCTTTTGGTTTATCTGTTCTTCATATGTAAATAACCCTGTAGTGTAAGGTTGAGGACTACTTGGTTAAAAATGGAAAATAAATGCACTATGCATTTCTTCATGTACCTCTAGAATATGTTTGAACTCTTAAATAGCTCTGCTTCACAGTTTTGAGAATCCAGAGTTACTGAAACTAAGAGTCTATAACTAAAAAAGTTTCTAGTGGTATCAATATAAATTAATACATCTGAAATTTTTTAGAAATCCTGTCCAATAAACAGTATTATAGTGACTCTGTGCCTCATTTCTTCCTTCATCCTGGTTCTAATAATTTCCTTTACTATTGCTAACCATCTATCCCTGGTCAGCTATTTGAATCAAGCCTTATTAAGTTCCTTTGCTTAGACTTCCTCTCACTCTGCCTTCATTTTGATTCTTTCCTGCATGTAATCTGCTTTTTTTTTAGAAAGCTAAATTCACTACCTTCATTGCTCATTTCAAGGTCAACTTCAAAACCCTTTCTAAATACCTTAGGAATAGTTTCTACACTTTTAAGTTTTCACCATATTAGCACATTTACCATATTTGCAGGTTGATACCTTGCCCAAATACTTGATGCATATATGTATATATATTTATCTCTTATTCCCAGTTAAATTTTCTATTCAAGAGCACTGTTCATGTCTTCTTACTCTGGTATTTCTCAACATAGCATTTGTTGTGCTGATGTATACAAAACACCTAATTAAAAAAAATCCTCTGAGCCAGGTGTGGTGGCACATGCCTGTAATCCTGGCACTTGGGAGACTGAGGCAGGAGGATTGCTGTGAGTTGGAGACCAGCCTGGACTACATAGTGAGTTCCAGGTCAGTCTCAACTACACAGTGAGACCCTGTCTCAAAAAAAAAAAAAAAAAAAAGAAATATTGTAGCTTAAAATCTTACTGAAATGTTTATGAATATTTTTATGATTCAAAAAGAACTCTGTTGAGTACTTCCTTTGCTGGAATTTGTGCTAGACCTCATCCCAGTTGTGACATTTTCAGGCTCATGAAATGTGCATTTTTAAATGCTAAAGTGCATAGTTCCAATTTTTTTTCCTGAGCAAGTAATATTTTTCTCTATTTTACTTGAACAGCAATCTGTAATTCTTTTTTTCTGTTGCATGTTTTGTTTTTTAAAGTAAAACGCTTATTTCAGAATGTTAGTTGGATGTGGTGGCACACAACCTACAATCCCAGCAGTTGGGAAGCTGAGGCAGGAGGCTTACCATGAGTTTAAGGCCAGCCTTGGCTTCATAATGAGTTCTAGCCTGAATGACAAAGCAAGACCCTGTCTTACACAAACAAACAGAAAATTAGACAAATTGGTATGTGAAGAAATTTTGAAATTGAGGTCTGAGTATTGCCAGTGGCATATGCCCACAATCCCAGCTCTCTGGGAGGCTGAGGCAAGAGGATCACAAGTTTGAGCCCACCCTGGGCAACATCATGAAATCTCAAAAATTTAAAAAAAAAAAATGTGTCATGCATGGTGGCACACATCTGTAATCTCAGTTCAAGAGGCGGAGGCAGAAGGTTGCCATAAGTGCAAGGCCAAGCTAAACTATATAGCCAGACTCTGTCTCAAAAAAGAGGGTAGGGAAATAAGGGAAAAGAAAAAATATGAGAAAAAGAAAAAATGGAAACAAAGTCTTTATAAATAGGGAAGGATGGAGGGGGTGAAGGGAGGGCAGGGGGATGGAGAAAAATGAGAACCAAGAGCTGTCATGTAAAGGTACATGATCCATATGACGAATGTAACTACTGTGTACCTAAAAAGTACCAGTAAACTCAACGAGAACAAAAAAAACAGGGTAGGGGAGCAAGGATGTACTTAGTTAGCATGAAGGCTCTGGGCTCAATCCACAGTACCGAGGGGGGAAAAATCATCAATCACAGTACACATTTTGAGAGCACAGCTTTAAAACAAAGTCCCATTTGGACCATGATTGTATCATGTGTTAACACATGTGTTCATAGTATAATATTCTCAAGTCATGACTGATTTTATATCAGAAGCCTTTTTAAATGCACTGTGACAGTTTTTAATGTTATAGCAGTTTCATTGGCAGAATTAACTTTTTGCATCCTCTTCCTCTGAATGCATTTGTTAAGCACCTGTTCAGTTTGGGTGATTATAACAAAATGTATGTGAAAACCGGTTGAGGGTTTTCGGTGTACATGATTGCTTTTATTTATAGCATGATTTTGTTTGCTTCACTCTACTTCCACGATGCATTCCTTCTACTCTTCCAGATTGATTCTGCGTGTTTTTAAAAAATCTTGTTGGTCCGGGGATTCAGATCAGTGGTTCCGCCGCCTTCCTCACAAGCTCAAGGTCCTGAGTTTGATCTCCAGTACCAAAAATTTTTTTTAAATAATAAAAAAATAAAAATTCTGTCATTCTGACTTTCAATTAGACATGCTTTATTCTAGATTTTTTAATTTTGTTAGATGACTAGTGTAAGCTTGAAGCAGGCAGCTTTTGTTTGAATCATCTAATCACATCACAGTTAAATGAGCTAACAGTGAAATAATAACACTAAACTATGGTTTGAAGAAAAAATTATTTTTCAAGGTAATTCACATTGTAATAGAATGATTGCAAAGATTATTAATTGTTTTCTTTTGTTAGGTCTTTGTTGAGGTACCTTATGGCTGTTGTTAGGATATAAGCTCTTTTTCAAGATCTTTACAGTTGATCAATAGCCCAGGAATTATGGTAGCTAACTAAACTTTGAGTTTTGATTTTTTTAGATTTCGGCCTATTAAAGGAAGACAAGAAGAATTAAAGGAAGTAATTGAACGTTTTAAAAAAGATGAACACCTGGAGAAAGCTTTCAAATGTTTGACTTCAGGTGAATGGGCACGGCACTATTTTCTGAACAAGAACAAAATGCAAGAGAAATTATTCAAAGAACATGTAAGTTTATTAAGATTAATACTGTCCCAGTTTGTGTAAGATGTACAGTAAAGCCTGGATAATAGTGAACACTGAAATTTTAAGTCTGTTTTTCATGAAGTAGTGAACATGAAGGTCTTGGAACATACGAGATTGTGGTTTGGGTGACTAAGAGAAAACTATCAGCTGGACGTGGTGGTACATGCTTGTAATCCCAGCACTCTGGAAGCTGAGGCGGAGGATTGCTGCAAGTTCAAGGCCAGCCTGGGCTACATAGTGAGTTCAGACCAGCCTGAAGTACATAGTGAGAACCTGTCTTAAAAAAAAAAGAAAGCAGAAGATTTTTAGAGAAGCAGACAAGCCTTTAAGTACTCAAATATAACAGTAGCAACAAAGTTTGTCATTTAGTGATTTTATATTTCTTATGGTATTGCTGGTGGTGTGCTTTTACAATGCTGAGACATTCTAGCAGGATAAACAATTTACAGTCATTTTTTTTCTACTGTTTTAGGTATTTATTTACTTGCGAATGTTTGCAACTGACAGTGGATTTGAAATATTGCCTTGTAATAGATACTCATCAGAACAAAATGGAGCCAAAATAGTTGCAACGAAAGAGTGGTAATTATTTTACTAGTCTAAACCCATAAAGTAGTTTTATTTAAAGATTGGTTAAGTTATTCTTGAGAGGCTAAGAGATTTGTGGTAAAGATTGAAGCCAGCATTTACCCTGAAGGAGCCAGCATGGTGCCATTGTTGTGGCCCATTGGCTAAAGTTCAAGTGAACCAGGTCCCATCTGTAGACCAAAGTGCTTTTCATTTTACTAATATTAAGCTTACTTGGTACTTACACTACTGGAAGGTAGGAGATGCCAGGATTGATGACCTGGCTTCCAGAGTCAGTCTTACCATCCTAGAGGAGAGGTTAGGGGTAAAGTCATAAGGGCTTTAGGTCATTTAAGAGTAGAAACATCCTAATGTGTAACCTGCTTTAAAAATACACATATGCCAGTTTGTGTAAAAGTAATAGAGTTGAGCTTACTAAGAGTTAAAAGCCATAGTTGAAAGACAGCATATGTGACTATGTCTTTCCTGTAATGCCTCTTCCCTACCTCCTTCCAGAAGAAACTTGCAGTCTCTCTCATAATTCAGCTTTGCTTTATTTTTTTTAATACTGAGGATTGATCAAATCCAGGGCCTCATGCATGGTAAGCAAGCACTGTACCACTAAGTTACATCTCCAGCCTTTTAAATTTTTTTATTTTAAGGAAGGATCTCACTGAGTTTCCCAGGCTGGCCTTAAACTTGTATTCCTCCTTCCTCAGTCTCCCGAGTGGCTGGAATTATAAGTATGCACCGCCACACCATGCTGCGTATCTGGGTTTGAGGTCTAGTGTTCTAGAGCTGCACTATGCAATTTAGTAGCCACCTGCTGCACTTAGTCCTTGAAATGTGGCCAGTATGAATTAAATGCTGTCTTATACACACGCAAGATTTCAAATTGCATTGTTTCTCATTAATAGTTCTCATATTGATTACCTGCTGAGGTAGTATTTTGGATATATTGGATTAAAAGATACTACTTAAAAATAATTTCATCCAGGGCCAAGGGTTTAGCTCAGTGGTTCCGCTGCCTGCCTCTCAAGCACAAGGACCTGAGTTTGATCCCTAGTACCAAAAATAATAATAATAATAATAATTTAAACCAGACATGGTGGCACATGCCTATAATCTCAGCACTGGAGAGGCTAAGGCAGGAGGATCAGTAAGAGTTTGAGGCCAGCCTGCACTACATAGTAAAAATAAATAAAAAATAATTTTACTTTTCAAAGTAGTTACTAAAAGACTTAATCAATTTGAGCCAGGCACAGGGGCACACATTTGTTATCCCAGCAGCTCAGGAGGCTGAGACAGGAGGATTGAAAATTTGAGCCCAGCCTGAGCAACTTAGCAAGACTCTAATTCAAAGTACAATTGGCAGGGAGGGGGCTGGGAATATAGTTCAGTGGTAAAGCACTAAAATAGCATGCATTCAATTTTCAGCACCAAAAAAAAAAAAAAAAAACAGATTGCAAGTTGGTCTTGCGTCACATTCCCAGTAAATGGTTACCCTGGCTGATGACACTACAGTTCTGGATCCTCATGATCCTTAAATGCTCCTAGTCCCTGTCTGCTTCACTTAGTGGTCAGTAAATTTAATGTAGTACAGGAACTATTGGAGCACTTCCCACCTGTGAAAAAGTAGGCTGGTTCCCACGGGATTCAGAGACAAAGCTACCTAATTTCTGTCCTGGAGGAGCTTTCATTTTCTTATAGAAGTAAAATATATAACAGGTAGAGATGGTACCAGGCTAGGGGCTTCAAGGAGGAAGGTGAGATACCTAGGTGGGATTCAAGTATACACAGGTAGGGCTTCTCAAATTCTGTTATTGAGCAGGCTTATTTTATTATTAAAAAGAAGCCTTTTTATAATTTCCAGTAAATTTAACACATCATCAATTTTAACACCTATTTTAAATAGGAAACGAAATGACAAAATAGAATTACTGGTGGGTTGTATTGCTGAGCTTTCGGAAATTGAGGAGAACATGCTACTTAGACATGGAGAAAACGACTTCAGTGTCATGTATTCCACAAGGAAAAACTGTGCGCAACTCTGGCTCGGTCCTGCTGCATTTATAAATCATGGTAAGCTGCATTTCTAAGGTGACTGCACTGGTGTTGAGCAGTTCTACCAACAGTATAGCCTTATCAGAGTAGTAAAATCTCTTTTTTCTCTAAAGATTTTGAAATAGAATTCCCCCCCACAAATTTATTAGAATATTCCTAGTTTAACTTAAGAGCTTACATTCTGTCATAAGTTGTGAAGTTGTCTGAAATGCTTTTTCAGATTTTTGTAACAAATCTTACCAATAATTATTTTTCTCTTTTGGACCTTTTCTTTCAGATTGCAGACCTAACTGTAAGGTAAGCATTAAAAAAATTTCTCAACTATTTTGTTTCTGCCTCAGCTGTCAGACTTTGACTGAGTTACTTTTCTTTCAGTTTGTGTCAACTGGTCGAGATACAGCATGTGTGAAGGCTCTAAGAGATATTGAACCTGGAGAAGAAATCTCTTGTTATTATGGAGATGGATTTTTTGGGGAAAATAATGAGTTCTGCGAGTGTTATACTTGTGAAAGGTAAGACACTAAGATTTTCTGCTTAAACATTCTTTTAACATCTGATGGCTATGGATAATAACTCACATTATCTCTATCATTTAAATGCAGAGATGTTTTTTTTATATTCTGTAGCACAGCTCCCAGTGCAATGTGTATAAACAAAATCAAATGGTATACATCTTTTTTAGAGATGCTGGCACTTTCCCTTTATAAAATCTTAATATACTAACAGGTAAAAGTTATGAGTGGGTCAGAATAAAAAGTGTTAGGAGAGAATGGGTAATAGTTCATGTTACATATGAGTGCCACAGTGAGGCTGTCCTTGAAATGGCCAGTAAAGTTCCTCTCTGATAGTCATGTAAAATCCTTGAAATTTTCTTGCATATCATCAAACTGTCTCCTGAAATTTTCATTTCAGTGTACATACTCTAGACAGCTTCTAATTCTCTTGTTGGCACTCAGCAAGGAACCTCTTTGTAACACATCTAGTTTCTGGGTCCTGGGCTAGAGATGTGGCTGGCAGAGTTATCAGTTCCCATCACTCATTGGAGTAACTTCTATGAACACAAGTTCCTTGGAGGAAGTGTTACAAGTGCAAACGAGGGCTACAGGAAGGCTGTTCTGACAATGCCAAGGTGGTGCAGATGGCACAGGCCACAAAGAGAACAAGCCTGTCTTAGTTGAGCCTATTTTGCCATGTTGCATTGTGCTGGACACTTGACCCAGTTGGCTTCACTTTAGCATCCTCATTCTTTCTATGTGGCGTGTGTATGTGTTAACGTGTGTGTTTTACTGAGGATTGAACCCAGATACCTCACCTCACACATGCTAGACAAATACTCAGGTATACTCCCAACCCTTTTTAAATTTTGAGAGAGGATTTCACTAAGTTGTCCAGGATAACCTCAAATTTGTGATCATCTGTCTCATCCTCCCAAGTAGCTAGAATTTCAGGCGTGCCCTACCAGGCCCAGCCTTCCTATTGCTTTTATAGATATGAGCACATTTATCATTTAAAGCTGCAATTCCTACGTAAAACATCTAGCTTAGGGGAGAGATAGGCAGATTCCCCAGACACCATTTTCCTCCTTTCTAGGTAGTTAGGGATCTGCAGCTGTAGTGAGAGAGGACAAGGCTGTAGTGTTACCCATGCAGGTTGTTTGCCAGCCTTGGGCTCTTTGCCATCCAGGGATGGCAGAAAACTTACTTCTGATGCTGCTAAGGTTTTGCCAAGGTAGGGGAGGAGTATAAAATTTATCTTTTTCTGTATAAAAATGTTTCACATTTTGGTTAGATCTCTACAGAAGTCCACGAAAAGGCCTTTTAATCCATTAAGTCTTAATTATAGTTCAGTAATGCCTTAAAATCATTTTATAGAGAAAACAATGCAAAAGTCAAGTGCCTATAATCTAGAGTCAGACTACCAATATAAGAATCCCACAGCTCTGTATTTCATTAGTTAGGTGATAGTTGGCAAGTTAAATAGCTATTTGTGCCTTAATTTCCCATCTATAAAATGGGAATAATACATTTCATAGGGTTGTAGTGGAGATTAAATTTATTTCACATAAAGCACATTAAGTAGCACATAGCTAACATGCAAATGTTAGCTATAAAATTATTTTGTGGTCTCTGGTTATGTTCTTAGAAAAAAGCATTGTAAAGGCAGAGACTTTAACCTTTTTCACCTATTTCTAAATCCCCAGCGTACAGAACTAGCTGGCACATAAAAGATATTTAATATGTATTTGGTGAGTGAATGAATATAGTAAATAAATACAATGAATAAGTTTTTGGAAACTGTCCTGAAAAACTAACATACTCAGGATTTCAAACCAACATAGAAATAGCATGTTAAGGTCCTGTCTAAATGGAATGGCATACCATAGAACAATAGATATGGCTGTTGTCAGACTATTTGAGCAGGTTGGTTGAAAAATTGGCTGTAGGGCCGGAGATTTAGCTCAGTGGTTCTGCTGCCTGCCTCACAAAGAAAATTTGGCTGCATATTTTCTTGAAATTCCCAGGAACATCAAATTGTTTTGTCTTTATACACAATAATAGCTGGAGATAAGCCTAATTAAAAAGCTCATTCAATTATTCATCAGATACTAATTGAAAAGTTACTTTGTACTGGCCCAGTACTGCAGGATAAACAAGACCATCACAATGCCAGCTGTCAGAATAAGAATAGTACAGTGAAAGGGATAAGGACACATGGACAGAGTGTTCTTTTTTTTTTTTTTTGAGACAGGGTGTTGCTATGTAGTTATATAGTTCAGGCTGGCTTTGAACTTACTATGTAGCCCAGTCTGGCCTCTTAACTCATGGCAATCCTCCTGCATCAGCCCTCTGATTGCCAAGGCTACAGACATGCGCCACCATGTCCAGCCACACGCATACAGTGTTTTGAGAGCCCTAATGTGGGAAGAGTTGGTTCTGAGGAAAGAGAGTAAATAGTGTGAATGGGATTCCAAGACTTGGGGTAGAGTGTCCAGGCGACACTGGAAACCTGTTTCAGGGTCATAACTATACCAACATAAGTTCCTAAGTAAGTATTGCACATTTCACTCTTAATTTGAAGAATGAAATCTAATGATGGTCCACAAAAACAAGATGCAAATAAAAGTATCTATGATTTTAGCAGTAAAACTTTAAAATGATTAAAATACTACTTCTTGGGCCAGGGATTTGGCTCAGTGGTTCTGCTGCCTGACTTGCAAGCACAAGGGCCCAAGTTCGATCCCTGATACTACCAAAAAAAAAAAAAAAAAAAAAAAAAATAAATTGTTTGGGACTTAAGGATTTTATTTTTTTAATTGGTCGAGTTAGTTGGGTCATGGTGGGATACACCTGCCCTCTGGAAGGTGGAGATGAGAGAATTACATGTTTGAGCTCAGCGTAGGCAACTTATTGACTTAGGCCCTTTCTCAAAATGAGAATAAAATGGGCTGGGGAGTACCATAGTGTGAAGGCCCTGGTTCAGTCCCAGTATTATTTTAAGAATTATGAAATTATATCTTTTGATAGCCAAGAAAAAAATTTTAAAGACTGTTATCTGGAGAGACTTTTCCTTTATAGATATTAAAACTTAATTATTTGTACTAAAACTTGATGATATTGGTGCAGAAATAGACAAAGATGAGGAAACATAAATAGAATTCTGAAATAGAGGCAAGTATATATGAGATCTTAATACACATTAGAAAACAATTTCTTTAATAAATTAGTTGGTATAACTCATTATGCTTCTGAGGGAAAAAGTTGGACTCCCATATAACATCATATACAGAATAAAGTCCTTTTAGATTAAAGATCTAAAATAAATAATACAGAACTACTAGGAAAAAAATTAGAACATATGTCTAATCGTGGCATAATGAAGATCTTTAGGGTATGATACAAGAAGCAGTGAATCTGAAAATGAGAGGTCAAAAGTAAATGATTTACTGAAAAAAAAATAAAAGTATGTAAATGGTAAGGAGTTTATAACCTAGTAACAGGAAACTCCTATAAACTCAGAACAAAGAGACAAAGATAGAAAAAAGGTAAAGGAGGAAGAGATATATCATAGAAAAAAATATCTGTTAAATTAAGACAAAATTAAGTACAGTACTTATTTTCACTCATCAAAGTGGGAAAATATAAGCACAATATGTTGCTGTGAGATGGTAGAAAAACAGGCACCCCGTACCTTGCTAATAAAGCCATGAATTGCTATAACCTTTTGGGAAAGTAATTTGGCAGTATTTATTAAAAATAAGAATATACTTTTCCTTGGCAGTTCCACATGGAAGAGGAAATTTTTCCTGTAGAAATAAAGCACCAGTAAATAAGGATTTGGTTTTAAGAGCAGCCTAACAGAAGTGTTTGTGCAAAAAAAAATTAAAACACAGGTCTTGATAATCACCAGTGGAGAGTGATTGAATAAATAATGACATGTATATTCTCTGGTAATATGCAGCTTTCAAAACATACATTCAGTGCAGATTTATTTGTCCATGATATAATAAAACTACTTGCTGCATAAAATGTTTAATAGTGTTACATTTTGGTTTTATTTGCTTGAAAAGAAACAGTAATATAAAAAGTTATGTAGACCATGGAAAAGGAATGGAACAAGGGTATGTTAGGTGCTTGCCAATGGGGACAGTTGGGAAGTACTAGTAATTTTTGCTTTGTGGATATGTTTATCCCCTAGGCTTGTCTCTCCTATTGCAGCAAACATGAGCATAAATTAACTGTCATAAATTTAAAAAGAGCTGAGTGTAGTAGCACATGCCTGTAATTCCCAGCACTCAGGCTGAGGCAGGAGGATCACAAGTTTGAGGTGAACCTGGACTACCTAGTAAGTTCAAGGCTGACCTGGGCTACAGAGCAAGAACTTTTCTCAAAAAAGGAAAGAAAGAAAAAAATAATGGAATGGAAGAGTTTTACTTTAAGGATTCTAATTTCTGAAAATTCCAACACAACTACTATACTCCTCTTGAAACCAAATCTTTACTAACTGGTGCTCTTATTTCTGTAGGATAGATTTCTTCTCTACATGGGACTGCCAGGGAAAAGGGTATGCTTATTTTTAATAAATGCTGCCAGATTGCTTTCTGTTAGGGCTATACCAGTTCATGGCGCTACTAGCATTTGTGTATAAGTACACTTTAAATATGTTCTGTCTTTGCAGAAATATTACAAGTTGTTGTTTGAAAAAGAGAAAAGATTAGCCAGGTGTGGTGGCGCACTCCTGTAATCCCAGCACTTGGGAGGCTGAGGCAGGAGGATGGCTGTGAGTTTGAGACCAGCTTGGGCTACACAGTGAGTTCCAGAGCAGTCTGAACTACATAGTGAGACCCTGTCTCAAAAAACCAAAAAGAAAAAAAAAAGAAAGAAAGAAAAGATTAAAAAACATAAGTATATCAAGATAATTTTTTTCTTAATCACTGTGGAATGAGATAGCTTTTGAGATTTACATATTTGTGTTCAAATGTATGTTAGAGTAGAGTGGACTCTATCTGATAATTACTGGCCCTGGTGAAAATTGAGGGTTCTTTTTTACAGTGATTTCTGTCCCATTTTTTTTTAAAAAAGAACAGAAGCAGTCTCTCAAATATTTTTTGTTTTAAAATAGCTCTATAATTAAAATATAATTTTAAATCCATTTTAGGAAGGTGAAAAAGACAATGTTAATCTTTATGTACCAAAAGTAATTCCTGCATTAAATTTAAATCTGTACTACTTACCTTGTAAAAATAAGGAGGTAGGTTGGGCCAGGGATTTAGCTCAGTGGCACCCCACCTACCTCACAAGTGCAAGGTCCTGCGTTTGATTCCCGGTACCAAAAAAATAAATCGGGTAGGTAAAGAAAGAAAATTTATGTTGTCTTTAGTATAAGGTGAGATACAGTAATTCTTTGAGAGAGAAAAGTTACTTCTCTATCATCCAAATTCCAAAAGAAAGAAATCATGTGGCACTTGCTGAGTGTGATAGTGCTTTCATAATGGTCATCCACAATTTTGCCACACGTTTGGAAGCTGTATTATATGACTTTCTGTTAAAAAGCTAAGGCCAGAAATAAGCAAAATAATTTTGTGCAGAGCGATTTGTTGGGTTTTTTAGTACTTGTTATGCTTTTGTTTATCCTTGTTGATTCATAATTTACTTATTCTCTATAGTACAGCTGAGTAAAACCTTTTACTGGTATACACAAATTAAAGCAAAGATTATCAAAGTTAGATTCATCAGAGAAATTTAAGAAAATTTACTTTAGAATGTATATAGTTAAGGCAAGGTATAAATCATTCTTACCTGGTATAAAAGCAAATCTTTAAAATATTTTGTATTCAGTAACATTATTATGAACATTTATATTTATTTCAAAATTCAAAGGAATTACTTAACAGTTTTTATTTTTTCCAGGAGACAGATTTTTACTAATAATAGTTTTAACCGGGTGTGGTGGCACACGCCTGTAATCCCAACACTCTCGCCGTGAGTTCAAGACCAGCCTGGGCTACACAGTGAGTTCCAGAGCAGTCTGAACTACATAGTGAGACCCTGTCTCAAAAAAACCAAAAAAAAAAAAGTTTAATCTTTTTACATAGAATTTCAGTTATAATTTGTTTCTAGCATTAAGCTCTAGGTACTGACTTAATTTGTGGAAATTATGGGCTTTTAAAAAATTAATTCTTAAGAATTATTAATTTAGTGTTAAATTGTACAGAACAAAGCAGAAAAGTAATTAATGTGGGTTTTTTAAGGTTACAGGTTAGATCCAACTGTTGTGCCAGTAATTTTTTAAATTGAAGATTTTGTTACTTTTATCTACACGTGAAATTCCAGTTTTTCATAGGCAAAGTTATTTTTAGCAGATACATTCTTGATTCCTTTTGAGAATTCTAGATGTGGCAGTGGGAATTGAGACCTCATCCCCTTTAATTTGAAGTGGCTGAGTCCACATTTATTGTGAGTAAATGCACATACTCCGTTTGTTTAACCTGTGGTGTTTTCTCTTTCAGACGGGGAACTGGTGCTTTTAAATCCAGAGTAGGACTGCCTGCGCCTGCTCCTGTTATCAATAGCAAATATGGACTCAGAGAAACAGATAAACGCTTAAATAGGCTTAAAAAGTTAGGTGACAGCAGCAAAAATTCAGACAGTCAGTCTGTCAGCTCTAATACTGATGCAGATACCACTCAGGAAAAAAACAATGCAAGTAAGTAAGGGAGATTTGATAAGATACTTTTCAAAAAGTATTTTCACACAGTTTGCTTTCTAAAGCATGCTTCAGTAGTTGTGAACTTCTAAATATTGAAATTGGGACTTATAAGCTTTAGCAGTGCTGCAAGGTTCTAGAAATGCTTTGAATGCAGAGCACAGTGTGTATTCCACCTTCACATTCAGTGCCATACTTTAGACTTCTTTTTTGAATACTTGGTAACAAGAATTGAATTCTTCATCATATATTCCAGAATCATCATATGTTAGAGGAAAATGTTTTTAAGGGTTAGTGACACTTGTAATGGTGTCAGCAGGCCCTGCTGGAAGACAGGGAACTAGGTAGAATTACACAAGCTCATATATGTTCAGTGTCTAGCCAGTCTGATAGGAACAGATGATGGATTTAGGACTTCATAGCTTCTGGCTTCAAGTCTTCTACCTTATTATTGCTTGCTTATATTTTTTAAAATGAACTGACCCAATTCACCAAACCACTGCTTTGTAGACTCAGAATTCGGCTAGAGGAGCATTTGGCTATGTGGCTGTGTTATGGCATATTGTATTAACCACTACAGAAAATAGCAAGAAAGATGAGAAAGAAGCAAGCTTTGAGATACCAATGTGGGCGGGGGAGGCAAGAGCTAATGGAAACTGGAAAAAGAAAATGAAGAATAAAGAGAAAAGGATGAGAAGAAAACCTAAGCGGGCAAAGATCAGCACATCATGTTTATGGAGCTTTGAAGTACTGAGACTTCTGATGCTACGGTCATCCATCTGGGTAACACCAGTGCTGTGTAGGTGCCACTGCAGCAGCAGGCTCTCCTATCTGACTCATCTCTGACAGAAACAGTTGTTAGAAAGGTTTAAATTAGTGGTCCCCAAAGTCTGCCTAGGCTGACACTCTAATGTCGGTGAGACTTCTGAGGTGCTGGTTATTTTAGGTCTCCTTCCTGCCTTCACATGTTTTCAGCCCAGTATTGAGTGTTCCCTTCCCCTACCGAAAATCCTGAAGAAGGGTATCTCACATGATGGTGAATGTTACTGCTGTGGATTCCTGAATCTACCTACTACTGGGAGTCAGAGCCCAGATGTAACCTCTGTAGTGTAAAAGTAATAGTATAGTTCTAGCCAAACTTTTTAGTTAATGTCCAAAGTGAAGAACAAAAAAGTTAGTCCATCCTTCACTGTTTACTGTTGATTTTGATAATAAATGCAGCGTAATGAACATTTGCTTTCTGAGTCTGGTTCCTTGGTGAAACTGGAGACTTGTGAAGCCCATTTTACAAATGCTTACATAAAAACACTTAAGTGCCAGCTGCCAACCATGCATGAGAAAGACACAGAGCTGCCACCAAGGACTAGCTCTGTGATATACATACAGGAGAGTATTTTGCGTTTTTGTGCATTAATTTGTATTTACTAGTGTTTTGATCGTGAACTCAGTACACCACTTACTTGTAAAGATCAAAATACAAATACTTTTTGAAAGATGTTTAGTATACTAAAATGTAGCCATCTATAAAATATTACTAAACCAACTACTTTAAAGTCTGCTAGTCACTGGAAAGATACAGAAGTGTATGAGATTCAGGTCCCTTTCTCAGGAAACTTATGCCTAGGCATCAAGTGCGCAGAGAAGTGCAGAGCAGATGCACACACCATTTTCTCAAGTTTCGAGAGAAGGAATAATCCCTTTGAGCTATAATCTTGGCACTAAAAAAAATAAACAGAAAGCCAGAACTTTCCGGTGACTTTATATTGGAGTGCTTACTTTATCTAAATTACCTTCCTTCAGCATGATTGTTAGAGGTAATCTGAGGGTTGGTGTAACTAACCTGAGGTCAGGGAACAGAGTTGATAGATGTGGCTCAGTACTGTGAAGCTGAGGTTTCACCAGTCTCAGACCACTGTGTGTTAAATCATGTTCACATACCGGTTTTTTCTAGTTCTTGAAAATAAGCTGTATTTCTTCTGGTGTTTTTGTCGGAACCATATCCCCCCCGCCTTTTTTTAGAGGCTTTTTTGAAACCACAGCTAGAAAACAGCTGGAGTTGCCAGGGGAGGGCATGCATTGTATATGTAGAAGTGGACTGTTTTTATTTGCCTGGCTGTTCATCTTTTCCTTGCACTTCATTTAGGATTGAGCAAATAGAGAAACTACTTTCTTTGAACAGGTAGAGAGAAACATTTCTCTTCTGCCTAGTCAGAAGAGAAATTACTTTTTCCATGCAGGCCCTTTTTTTGTTTTCAAAGGTATATTGAGAGCTCCAACTTGACTTTTTGCTTTAGCATCTGAGAGTGAAAACAAAAAACCCAGCTCTGTCCACATGTCTGAATTACAGTGTCACTTTTGGAGATTCTCATTGTTCATTCTCTTGCTTCACTCCCTTAGCAGCTTCCTGTAGTTAATGCTGTGATACAAGATGTGAGCCCTGAAGGCTCTCTAGCAGGACCTAAATGCCTGGACACAGTCACTGAAAGCATCAAAACAGTGCAGGATCCAGCTGATGTGGCCAGTAAACTCTGTCTTAAGTAAGGAGCAGCTTTCCTAGACATGGAGGCTAGGCTACCCTTTCTCACTCTCAGAGCAGTGCTATCTGCAGTTACCTGTACTCCTTTCTGCAAGCCTGTGGGATGCTTTTCAAAGTCTTCTCAGCATCCTGTTCCAGTTAGTTACTGCCAGTCTGTCAAATCCGGTAAAAGCTGTTTACATCTACCTAGTCAACTCCTGGAGACTGAGGTCTTTAAAGTCCTTTTGGGCATTTTCTGAGTTTTTGAATTCTTGGAGATGCTAAACTTTGTATGAGCCCTATATTATCTTGGCTCATGTAGTTAGTGTGCATTTCCAGTGCAGCCTGAGTGCTAGAGAAGGCTTTGGTGTCCTTTTGCAGCTCTTCCATCTGATTGTAAGTCTAGATGCTACACTGATGATTCTGATGCTACCTTGAAATGAGCATGTTAGCCATTCAATGGATCTGTTATTCATGAGTTGGGATTGGCACCATGATAATTCTGTGGTAAGCTTTCACACAGCACCACAGAGTAAGAACTCATCCTGTTGCCCAGCAGATAGATGATCTTGGGCACACTAGTCCTTGAAGACTTGTTTTTCATGGAAGTAAAACAGCACACACTTCCAGGCCATCCTAATGTGGCCATTTTACACAACACCTAACACATAGCAGTTGCTAAGAATGTGTACTTCCATCTCAAATACTGTCCATGCTTATTCTATGAGATTCTTCCAGGCCACTAGGGGAAGGTAATTACACAGGATAAAGAGTGCAGAGGCAAGGATAACCATAGGCCTATCAACTCCACTGATGTCAGAACCCTTGGTCTGTTGATACACTTTCTAAACCCACAGTTGACTTTTAGCTTGTCTTTGTGGCCACTGACTTCCTCCTTTAGCCTATCACAGAAATCCCCAACCCTCTGCAAGCACAAAAAAAAAAAAAAAACATTGTTTTTTACAGTAAAGGACTCGTGGCACTTGAGTGGACTCATCTTCATGTCTCATGTTTCTCTTGCCTGGTTTGAGGTTTTCAGCCTTTAATTTGATTGGCGTACCTTTTGGCTGGGCTTTTGATGAGATATGTTTCCAAACAACACATTGATAATTATACAAGTATTTAAGTGGAATTGCATGTGGCATCAAATACATTTTGTGATGAGTTTAGACACAAAACCAATGCTTTGTTAGTGGTTGGCACTGCTGTCAACAATGCATCTTTTGGGAGAAAGAATGGGTTAAAACGTGCTGAGCAAGGACAATCTTGGGTACTGTGAGTACACACAGAAGGGTACCCTGCATTCTAAATGGCCGGCTCCCTGAAGCAGGTGCTGCCCAAGCTGAGACTCCACTAAGTTAGCCAGTTGAAGCATATTCAGAGCAGGGGACTTTCACAAACGTGCATGTACAAGTGAAGGACTTGAACAAATAAAGTTCATCATGACCAGTGGACGGAGAAGGGATGAGACCATGGCTTAACATTCTGGACTATTTAGGACATCAGGCTAGTTGAAAGGGTTAAGCACAGAAGTGACAGGAAGGAAATCATTCTGGCTACATGGATGAGAATGAACTATTGGAAGAACAATAGAGATGGGAAAAGTACCATAGTTTAGGCAGGAGGTTATGACATGTTACAGAAACAGATAAGTTTCAGTGACAGTGCAAGGCCCCATAGGACAAGTACCCTGGCAAGTGAATGGATGAAAAAAGGAAAAGGAAAAAAGTCAAGAATGGCCTCTGGCCTCCTCTTGGGCAGCTGAGCATTTGGTCTGCAGTGTTACCCATGAGATGAAGAGCTCAGAAGCTGCCAGAGGTTTGATCGCTCAGTGCAGGCACTTGGATAGGCAGATGTATGAAAGCTTAGCATTTGGTGATCGAGATCTGTATTTAGGGGAAAATTGCACTAGAGAAAGTGACTAAGGAACTTGGCACTAAAGTGGTAATAGCTAGGGTAAGTAAATGCTTATCACCCAGATAATCTTATGGAGCTTCCAAGGGGTCTGAGTAGCAGATTTGAAGGATTGACAGTCTCAGGTAGATGGAGGAATGCTGGGTAGGGAGAAGGAAAACCAAGAGAGTGCTCATGGTCCAGAGAGGGAGGATTTCTCAAGAAAATGGCTGTTGGTGTCACATTTAGAGAAAAAGAACAGGCTGAAAAATAACGCACTGGATTTCATAAGGAAGTTGTCAGATTGGAGGCTCTGCTTGGAGGGGCGAATCCATATTGCATAAGGATGCTGATGAGAACTAGCGTGTGGTCATGGTGGAGGGGTGAGAGCAGGTGCATAGCAACAGTGAGGAAGAGGAAAACTAAAAGGTCAATAACCACTAAGCATCATAGAGGCCTAAGATAAGCAAAAGATCCTTATAGCTACATTTGAGATAGGCAAATAGCCAAACAGGTGCAGTCCTTGGGTTTTTTTATGGCAACAACCAGAATATTAATGTATGTTTAAGTGGACAGCGAATCTACTTATTTCACCTTGTAGGCAAGCCTTACAGAGCATTCTCTGCTGAGGAATTCCCCAAGCTAGCCACAGTGGAACGCCTGTAATTCCAGCTACACAGAAGGATCTCAAGTTTGAGGCCAGCCTGGGCAACTTAGCAAGACCCTGTCGCAAAATTTTAAGAATATAGCTGGGCGTGGTGGTGTGTGCCTGTAATCCCAGCACTCGGGATGCTGAGGTGGGAGGATTGCTGTGAGTTTGAGACCAGCCTGGGCTACATAGTGAGTTCCAGGTCAGTCTCAACTGCATAGTGAGACCCTGTCTCAAAATAAAACAAAAAAATCTTTTTAAAATAAAGGGCTGGAAATATAGCTCAATGATAGAGTGTTTGACTACGGTGCATAAGCCCCTGTGTTTAGTCTTCATACTAGAGGAAAATCTCTAAATACTCATATTTGAAGGAATCTTAAGTAGTTCTGTATAATACCCGTTCACCATAAATCACTTGTCCTCAGGTTGAATAGTATCCTAACTAACTTCACTCAAGCAATTCTAAAATTGAGTTGCCTCCTTGGTAACAGCCCACATGAGTAAGTGTATTTATTCTTGGTTCAGTCAGTGGAGCTCATTGCTGTGAATTCTGCTAGTTTGTGTGGCCTGAAGTTATTTATGAGCCAGCCTAAGTACAGAGCCTTCTATTCTTGGTGGTATGATAATTCTGGAATGCTTGTTTTACATTCTTGCTCCTCTCTCAATAAAAACTAATGATAACTTTTCTTCCTTAGCTGTGCAGAAGGAATGACAGTTGCCCAGGCAACCCTTGGGCATGTGGGAAGGCTCCTAGTCCCCAATTGGGCAAGCTGCTGGCTTTACCCATAGTCATGGTTTTCATCCTCATTTTCTGTTTAGAGTGGAAATTTATTATCACAGCTTTCCTACTGAATAATTTTTGAAGTTTTTGTTTTTTAATTTTTAATCAGGGAGAGGTTTTTTGTTTGTTTGTTTTTTTTTTTGGATTTTTTGGGCTGTGGGATGAGGAAAGTAATTTAAAAATTGACTGATAAGGGCCAGGGATTTAGCTCAGCAAGCACCATGCCTGCCTCACAAGTGCAGGGTCCTGAGTTTGATCCCCGTACCAAAACAAAACAAATTGAGTGGTGTAAAACCTTATAAAGAGTCCATAATGTAAGCATAGAGAAAAAGATGACAGAAAACAGCAAGGTCAGACGCTACAGGAGGAGTGCAATACAGGGCCATGTAGTGGGCCATCTAAAAAGCCATTCAGTGGTCACATTAGTTAGTCTTGAGGTTGTAGTATCACTGTCCTGGAGGGCAGCAGTTGGACCTTCTGTTCTGAGAGTGTGTGTTTCTGCTGCCGCTTCTTCATGCAGTGCACTTGGCATCAGCAGTCACTGCAGGAACAAGGTCATGTTAGTTGCATAGCTCTTATGGGTGACCACCTGCCTGTTGTCTCTTCTGGTCCTCACAGTTGAGGTGGGCAAACAGCTTATAATAGGGTAGTACTTTTTTGGTAAATATTTATTGGGAATGACAATTTATGGTTCATTGGATCTGTTTCCCTTGTTTTTAAGCCATTGTGATAGAATTTATCTCCTAGAACTTTGAATAATATATTTTTAATCTACATTACTGGCCAGCTGGGTGTGGTGTTGCATGCCTGTAATCCCAGCACTCAGGAGGCTGAGGCAGGAGTAATCTCTATGAGTTTGAGACCATCCTGGGCTACATAGTGAGTTCCAGGTCAGTCTCAGCTACATAGTGAGACCTTGTCTTAAAAAAAAAAAAAAAAAAATTACTGGCCATGTAACATACTTGGAATAAATGAATAATGGATTTTTAGCAACATATTTAAAGTGATAATTTTAGAGCTGGGGGTATGGCTCAGTGGTAGGACTTGACTACCATGGGAAGACTCAGTCCCCAGTATCACAAAAATAATAGTGATGATAATAGTAATAGAATAAAAAGAAATAAAATTAAGAATTTATGAAAGAAAAACTTATTTCTCTCCTTCAATTGATTGCAGCATTGGAGATTGAACCCAAGGCCTCTGCAGTTGGCTATGTCTCCAATCCTTTTTAATTTTTTTTTTTTTTTTAACTTTTGAGACAGTCTTTCTAAGTTGCTAAATTCCCCAGGCTGGTCTCAAACTTGTGATTCTCCTTCCTCAGACTCCCAGAGTGCTAGGATTATAGATGTGTGGTAATGCGTTGTCTAATTTTTTTTAATTTTTTTTTTTTTTTTAACTTTTGAGACAGTCTTTCTAAGTTGCTAAATTCCCCAGGCTGGTCTCAAACTTGTGATTCTCCTTCCTCAGACTCCCAGAGTGCTAGGATTATAGATGTGTGGTATAACATCCATCTCCAAATCTTTTATGTAAGAAAATTCATAAATCAGGAAGAGAGGTACTTAGTTTAGGCCAACATCCTGACAACTGAAGAAGCTTAAACTGTCCTCAATCGCTGCTGTGGGAGAGCTCTTTAACCATAAGATTACTCTACCTGGATAGCCAGGCATGGTGGCACGCGCCTGTAATCACAGCACTCAGGAAGCTAAGGCAGGAGGATCACCGTGAATTTGAGGCCAGCCTGGACTACCTGTTTCAAAACATAAAAATGAAAGATTATTTACCAGGAATGTGAACAGGTGCCCTGTCAAGAGAGAATTTAGAGGCATTGACAGGAAGACTTAGTTGCTGGTGGAATTGGAGCTGGGGTCTGTTTCCCACATGTGTATAGTGTAAATATTTCATGGCTGGTAGCCTACTCTGGGGCATTATTTTGTTGAGCACTATCATATTACCAAACTGTTTTTCACCCTTTTCCCTCCCACACTTTACAGCTTCTAACCGAAAATCTTCAGTTGGTGTAAAAAAGAATAGCAAGAGCAGAACGTTAACAAGGCAATCCATGTCAAGAATTTCTGCTTCTTCCAACTCTACCTCATCTAAGCTAACTCATATGAATAATTCCAGGGTACCAAAGAAACTGAAAAAGCCTGTAAAGCCTTTACTTTCAAAAATAAAACTCAGAAATCACTGCAAGCGGCTGGAGCAAAAGAATAATTCAAGAAAACTCGAAATGGGAGACTTAGTACTTAAAGAGCCTAAAGTTATCCTGTATAAAAATTTGCCCATTAAAAAAGATAAGGAAACAGAGGGACCAGTCCATGCTGCAGCTGCCAGCAGGTGCTTGACTAGACATGCGGCCAGAGAACACAGGCAAAATCCTGGGAGAGGTGCTCACTCGCAGGGCGACAGCTCGCCCTGCACCTACATAACCAGGCGCTCAATGAGGACGAGAATAAATCTGAAGGAGGCCTCTGACATTAAGCTGGAACCAAATGCATTGGATGGCTATAAAAACAGCATGACTGAGCCTTGCCCAGACAGTGGTGAGCATCCATCCCCCATGGAGCAGGAAGAAGAACTGGTTCATGAGACTGCACAAAAGGGGGAAGCCAAGTGTCACAAGAGTGATCCTGGTGTGTCCAGAAAGAAGTCACGACAAGGGAAACTTATGAAGCAATTCTCAAAAGTAGAGGAATCTGCTCTGGGAAATGATTCTCCTGGAAAAGACGATGTGGTGCCAGATTTGGTGGGGCCCCTTTCTGACCAGGGCGAGCCCAGTGGCACGGTTGGGGTTCCTGTGAGCTATACAGACTGTGCTCCTTCCCCTGTTGGCTGCTCAATTGTCACATCTGATAGCTTCAAAACAAAAGACAGCTTTAGAACTGCAAAAAGTAAAAAGAAGAGGCGAATCACAAGGTATGATGCACAGCTAATCCTAGAAAATAATTCTGGGATTCCAAAATTGACTCTTCGTAGGCGTCATGATAGCAGCAGCAAGACAAATGACCAAGAGAGTGATGGGATGAATTCTTCAAAAATAAGCATCAAGTTAAGTAAAGACCATGAAAACGATAATAATCTCTATGTAGCAAAGCTTAATAATGGATTTAACTCAGGATCAGGCAGTAGTTCTACAAAGTTAAAAATCCAGCTAAAACGGGACGAGGAAAGTCGGGGGTCCTATACAGAAGGGCTTCACGAAAATGGCATGTGCTGTAGTGATCCACTGTCTCTCCTGGAGTCTCAGATGGAAGTGGATGACTACAGTCAGTACGAGGAAGAAAGTACAGATGAGACCTCCTCTTCAGAGGGAGATGAGGAGGGGGATGACTATGATGATGACTTTGAAGACGACTTTATTCCTCTTCCTCCGGCTAAGCGACTGAGGCTAATAGTTGGGAAAGACTCTATAGATATTGACATTTCTTCAAGAAGAAGAGAAGATCAGTCATTAAGGCTTAATGCATAAGCTCTTGGTCTTAATTTGACCTGAGATAACTACTTTAAAAAAATAAAAAAATTCCAGTCAATTATTCCTCAACTGAACCATTTTAGTGGCAGCACTTCTATTGTCTCTTCACTTATCAGCATAATATTGTAGAAAGTGTACAGTGTACTGACTTCCTAAGTCTGATTTGTGCAAATTTTTATCGTACTTTTTAAATAGCCTTCTTACGTGCAATTCTGAGCTAGAGTTAAAGCCCTGTTGTAAAATAAAGGCTCCAGCAAAATTGTACAGTGATAGCAACTTTCCACACAGGACGTTAAAACAATAATGTGGCTACACAATTTTTTTAAAACTGAGAGCAACAACTGGCTCTTTAATATATGACTAAACAATAATTTAAAACAAATCATAGTAGCAGCATATTAAGGTTTCGAGTATATGCTAATATCACCAGCAATTATCTTTGGCTTTTGGGTTTATTTGCTAGATGTTTCCCCTTGGAGTTTTGTCAGTTTCACACTGTTTGCTGGCCCAGGTGTACTGTTTGTGGCCTTTGTTAACATAGCAAAACATTGGTTGTAAGTCAAAATTGGTTTCTTTAAAAACAAAAATTAGGCTGGGGATTTAGCTCAGTGGTTCTGCCACCTGCCTCACAAATGCAAATGCAAGGACCTGAGTCTGATCCCCGGTACCAAAAAAAAAAAATTACATGTATGACAACTCTTTTCAGTACATTATATGTACAAGGTTAGCAGTGTGCAGGATGAGTTTCAAAACAGCGTATTTATTGCTTGTCATATAAATTAAAGACCTTGTATTTAACACTTTTCAATCCTTTTAGATAAAATTGTTCTTTGCAAGAATGATTGGTGCTTATTTTTTCAAAAATTTGCTGTGAACAATGTGATGACAACAAGCAATGTTGACCTAATGAACTACAGCTATATCTTAATTTGGTTCTTCAAGTTTTCTGTTGCACTTGTAAAATGCTACAAGGAATATTAAAAAAAAAATCTATTCACTTTAACTTATAATAGTTTATGAAATAAAAACATGAGTCACAGCTTTTGTTCTGTGGTAACCTATAAAAATGTTTGTCTTTGGAATTCAATGTAAAGAGCTGAAAATGATGTATATGTTGTAAATATTTGTGTGTTGTGAGAAATTTTTGTCATAAAAAATTAAAAGAACTTACCAGGAAGGTTTTAAGTTTAGAAATATTCATGCCAATAAAATAGGAAATTATAAATATATAGTTTTAAGCACTGCATCAGTGGGAGTTCTTGGCTTATGTTAGTTTATTAAGGATATCAAAGATGTTTTGATTATATTGTCAGTTAAACAAAAAGAGTCAGATTTAATTTGTTTTTTAAGCACTTTCAGAAGAGAAATTAATTTTAAGTAACTTAATGAGCAAATTTTTGATTACTACTTTATGTTCAATACCAGGCTCTTTCATTTTTCTAGATTATTTTACAACTCAAATTGGAAATGTAAATCTGTAGCAGGTGTTTGACACCAGTAGGTCTCTTTATTTACTGGGAAATGTGTACATGTACTTTCAGATATACAGTGCTCCTAAGTAAAATCAATTTAGGGGATCCATATAATGTCTATAGAAGAGTAGCCATGTCTTAAAATCTTAAAAGGAATCTGCAGGTAATGAACAGTCCAATGAAGAAAACCTCAATGCGTAACTAATTGATACTTAAGCAGTTTCGCGGTTTGGGGAACATTATTTAAATTAAGTTCACTAAAAACATTACCGATAGGTTCCAAATAGTATTAAGATTCATAAAAGTTTGTTAGGTTCTGTAAGGAATTCCCTGTGTAGTCCTGTGTAGTCTCACGCTTGTATGTTACGGTGCAGTCTGATCCTCAGGTATTAAATTGGAAGCAGGTGATAGGTAGGCTCCTACACACTCACACCCCTTTTTGCTGCAGCTCATGAAGTGGGACAGCCCCACATAGTCTCAGGAGCTCCTGTCCTGAGGCACCTAGAGCACTTGACAGACACATCCAGTCCTTACAGGGCCCCCTCGCAGAAGCATGAGACACTACCAGAGATGAAGGTGGACACTCTGGAGTGTGCCCAAAGCCTGTGGGTCACCTCTCATTCCCACCTTTGAGGGCGTTTTGGAGATGTTTAGAGACTAAATCTTGGCTTTCTTTAAATACCACCAATAGCCATTTCATGAATTTCAGTCTTAAAGCAGAAATAACACATTTCCCATTTTTCTCCACTTCTAAGTTTAATTTTAGTAACTTATTTATGATTTTTTTTTAATTTTATTGTGGCCTCATCTTTTGGGGCTGACCTTCCCATGGGTCTCAGAGCAGTGACATTTGGTGATAGGTCACTGCCTCTCAGGAGTCGGTATGCACAAGCATTCAGCAGCCACTGCTGATGCCTTCTAGGGAAACTTAATTTCCGTTTCTAAAGGTAGGGGCCTCGGGACTGTTCTTGATCTGCTGTAGAACTTCGCCATGTGGGAATGGTGAAACCCACACACTCTTGATCAGTTGGAAGAGGTTGCATTCAATAAAACTTTAGCTTGAGCTTATGCAATGATTGGTAACATTTTTGGCAATGTAAGAATTAGGAAATGATCGTAGAAATATATGTAAAGTATTCAATTTTCAATCATTTTTCAAATTGCTGTTTTAATTGTTTTGCTGAGTTGTAATACTTTTGAGATACAATGTATTCCTTGTACTGAAAGAATGAAAAAGGACTTTTTCAGCATTTGAGGTAAGTTCTTTAACGTTTCATTAAAAACATTTTTTACAAATATTTTGTACATGCACTTGCAGTATTGAGGTTAATCATTTTAATAAATTCGGAAATTAAAACAATTTGGCCGGTGTTCACTGTATCTAAGAAAATTCACTTTGTCCACAAAACTGTTCATACGAAGCAAGCTGTAGACTAGGTTTCTAAGCTTTTCAGTAGCTACAGTTACTGAGTTCTCTGTCCCTGGGCTCCTCCTTGGGCCACACTGTGAAAGAGGACAGAGAAGCTGCTTTCGCACTCCTATAATCTCAGCATGGGGCGGGGGGGCTAAAGCAGTGGGAGGCCAGTTGGGCTACATAGTGAGACCTTATCTCAAAAAGAAAATTGGGGGCTTTTGCAACCTAGTTATTAATGCTTCCTGGTTACTTGGATTTCCCCTCAGCATACTGGATGGAATAGCAGATCCAGCACTCTCCTGGGTCCTTTATACTCCCATGTACTGTTGCAGACCTACTTAAATTGGATTGGCCTAGGAATTGTGAACCCCAAACTTGCCCAGCTTGGCAACCTTCTGAGCAAAATCTGGGCTCCAAAGTTCTTTTCCTAGCTCCTACTTCTCTTCTGGGTCACTGGTTTGGACCTGTTAAAAGTTGGAAGACCAACTGCGTCCCCTCCTGGTTAGGACAGAGTGAGTGGTATAGTTCAAGCTAGTGAAACACCTAACAAGTGCTGAGTTTCCCACCTAGAAAAGGCTAAAACGTGTGCTGTTAAAACACTCAGGTGGTTTATATGGCAGCTCAGGTTTTTCTCCATGCCAGTAGAAAGTACCAGTTAGCTTGCAACATGCTGCCCAGAACCCTTGTGTGACTTGTCCAATGTCAGCTTTCTGTTACTGACGTGCTCTGTCTGTCACATAACTGCAGCAAAACAGTGGCAGAGCAAGGTACCAATAAGCTGCCAACCTCTGACACTTTTTTTAACCCCTCAGTACTGGGGATGGAACTCAGTACCTTGTGCTTGTGAGGCAGGTGGAGTGCCACTGAGCTAAATCCCCCCCCCACTTTTGTATCCCTAGGGTGAAGGCAAGCTTGACCCTAGCACATACAGGAAGAAGAGAAGTTTTCCCACTTTCTACTCCCTCTCTGGTATCCTGAGCACCTGGGCATTGCTGGTGTTTGCTAGTGATGGATCCCAAGTGAATTTGAATTCCTCAGTAAAAGCAGCAGGGTTGTTAGAAAGGGGCAGGTTTGTAACAGCCAGGATTGGGAAGGAGGTCAGTTACCAGTGATTCCCCCCTCCACTTCTTGTACCTATATTTTCATAGGAACAGCTGGAAAGCTCCCAAGCTAAAAACAGAAGACAGACTGAAGGCTCATAGAGATGGCTTTGGTCACATTCTAAAATAGTTACTCCATTACCAGATCCTACGCCCTCATCAAATCTGAGTTTTCCTGCTAAGCTAATGTAGACAATAACATTTATCCTCTGGGGTAGCCTACCCCATAGGTCTGCTGTCTAAGGGAAAGCACTCTGCTGATCTTCTCACTGCCAGGGGCGCTGGCAGGGAGGTCTAAGTTAGCAAGAGTAAAGTCACATTCCTCAAATAGATGTGGAACACAGGTATTTGGGGTCGGGGAGGCAGAATTTGAATCAAACTCAAGGAGAGCCAAGCCTGGTGGTACACACTGTAAACCCAGCTACTCAAGGCCAAGGCAGAAAAATCACAAGTTCAAGTCCAGACTGGGTAACTTAGCAAGACACTGTCTTAAAACAATTTTTAAAGGGATAAAGAAATATAGCTCAGTGTAAGGCCCTACGTTCAATCCCCAATACTAAGGGAAAGCTGAAGGGGAAGGACCTAGGGAGGGAGGGCTGCAGGCAGTACAGCCTGGGCCTATCACACAGACAGAGGCCAGGAGGGTGGGCTGCACACGACCGCTGGTCCTTGGTGACTTTGGAGAGCACAGCCAGTAGCTGAGAGAGTGGAGAAGGGCTAGCATCTGGGAGCAGAGGTAGGTAATTTTATCAAAAGGACAAGTGATATAACCTGGGAGATGGGAAACTTCCATGGGGTATCAGGTATTCCCAAAAGCGGGGGAGGAGTCATTCAAGTTGGGGCACATAGAGGCCTTAGGAGTATCCATCGGTCTTCCAAGAAGAAAGAGGCTTCTGGGCGTGGTTGAGAAGCCATTCCATGTGAAGTTGTATCTATAAAAGGGAAGTGATGTCATTGGACAATCAGATGGGAGCCCAAGGTTTGGGGAAAAGGATGGAGATATTAATTCAAGAATGGGAAGGTGGGCTGGAGATTTAGCTCAGTGGTTCTGTTTCACAAGTACAAGGACCTGAGTTCAAGCCCTGGTACAAAAAAAAAAAAAAAAAAGGGAAAGCAAGCTGACATTAGAAACATAGTATAATTCATTAAGGAAATATTTACCCATAACCTTTCAGTGCCTGTGTCCTAGGTGACTAAAGGGGGCTCAGGCTCGGGGGGGGCGGGTAGAGATGTGACCTTCACTGGCCAGACAAGGGCCACAGGAGGTAGGGGATGAGGTGGAAGGGAGTAGAGTTGAGGTTGGTAGAAGAAGGGTTGAATGGAGACCTGTGCATGCGTACACATCAGGAAACAAGCTGAGTTTGTGAGCTCAGTGGGATGAAGGCAGAGGCACAAGGCAGGGAGCTGTGTGTGTGTGTGTGTGTGTGTGTCAGAGAATCACCAAGCAGTCATGGAATGAGCAAATGGAGAAGACAGGGTCAGAGGGCAGGCTCTGCAGCTCTGAAGGGGTTGCATTTTCTGACAATGCCCCTAGCAATGCAGTGGTTGTGATTCTGAAAGAACAGGGCACTGGTGTAACAGCCGCCCTTCACAGAGGGCCTCCAGAGCATTTGGCACCATGCGCCCCACACAGCCCAGCCAAACAAGCTGGTAGGCCAAGGAGTTGGCCTGCTAGGATGGTGACCACCTCTCTTTTTTTTAGAAGGGTGGATTTTATTTCATTTTTTGTTTGTGCAGTTCTGGGGATTGAACCAAGGGCCTTCTCGCTGAGCTACGTCTCCAGTATTTTTTTTTTTTTTTTTTTTTTGTATCCAGGATCAAACTGGAGACCTTGTGCTTGCGAGGCAGGCGGTGGCATCATTGAAGTAAATCCCTGGCCCTCAACCTTATTTTTATTTTTTATCTTAAGACAGCCTCATAAATTGCTAAGTCACCCAAGGACCCTCCTGCCTCAGCCTTTAGCGGGCTGGGATTACAGGAGTGCACCACTGTGCCCAGCTTGTCAGTGTCCTAATGAACAAGGTCTTGACAATCCTGCCCAAGGCCACGCAGTGAGTAGTCAGTGGCAGAGCCACTCTATGTACAGGCTCTGCTTGAGATACTCTGAGGAGCCCAGCGGGAGCCCCACCTCTGCCTGGGAAGTTCTGGAAGCCCATCTTTAAAAGTCCCCTTGGTAGCTGGGCATGGTGGCACACACCTGTAATCGCAGCACTTGGGAGGCTGAGGCAGGAGGATCACTGTGAGTTCGAGACCAGCCTGAGCTACATAGTGCGTTCCAGGTCAGTCTCAACTACATAGTGAGACCCTATCTCAAAAAAACGCAAACAAAACAAAACATAAAAATCCCCTTGGTAACGACTAGCAACCACTGTGTTTTACTTTGTTTTGAGACAAGATATTGCTATGTAGACAGGCTGGCCTTAAACTCATACTTCTCCTGCCTCAGCCTCCCAAATGCTGAGATTACTATTGTGCACCACCGCACATGGTTTCCCTGCTTTCCATGCAGCTGGGGAGGGCCAGGGGAATCTGTGCCAAGGTTATGGTGTGGATAAGCCAGGTGGCCACGCCCAGTAGCCAGATGTCCTCGGAGCACTTGAAAAGTGGGAGTGGTGCCGCTGGCAGAGCTCAGCCCATCTCAGGAGAGGCAGCAGGCCCGGCCCCCTGGAAGGGTGTGGACCCCTCTATCTGAAAGTGAGTGGAGCACAGCAGCAGGGGCAAAAGACAAACCCAAGATTTCCTGTAGCTCACCAGCTCCAGGACTCATGATTTCAATGGTGACCTGACGCAGATGTGCTCCTTATGGCAAAGGAATGGGTGTTTGATCCGAGAGGATGTCTGGGTGAGCCTCTGAAAGGTAACTCAGCCTGTTTTCTCTCACAGAACAGACTTGGGACCCCATAATTACACGAACGGGAAGCAGGCTCTGCAAATGTGGGTGTAACTCCTAGGAGCCCATCTGCTAAGCCAGGTACTCTCAGCACTGCTGATATGGGTCTGCTTCCCAGAGGACCTTGGCTGTATCACAGCAGCCTTGGTGGGCTGGGAGCCAGACATCGACTGGAAGTGAGTAGAAACAACAGGCAGTGAAAATCTTGGACTAGTTTTCTCCCAGCTGTGGGTGGCTGGAGGGACGCCTCCCCACAGGGCGAGCTCTCCCATAAAGTAAGCAGCTCTTCCTGTGGCCTCCCCTTGCCGGTCACACCACATTTTCCTTCAGAGGCTGGAGGGTGAACCGCACAAGGCCTCACCAGCCTCCAGGTGCAACAGGGGCTGAACCTGGGGCATGCTGGCATCTCGCCGGGGGTGACTGCTGAGGGCCAAGTGAGAGAGTGCCAAGAAGCCCCTCGCCGAGGGGCTAGGTCAGCGGTGTGTCCACCTTGACGATCTGCACTGGGCATCACTGACACCTAATGGGCAGGGCTCTCCTTTCTGCCTCCAACCTCTGCCTGTGCAGCTGATACCTGTTCACACCACCTTGATCACAGCCTTTTCCACACCAGTTTCCAAACGCGCCCTGGTGGGCATCCTGTCCCCTCTTCCTGGGCACAAAACCGTTTCAGTTCTTTTTTCCTCTGTCTTGGCTTCTGTCAGCCCAGCACCTGAAGACACAGTGCCACCTCTGCTCCTCTCCTGCTTCCATGGGCCTCTCTGGGGTCATCTGCTTCCTTGACATCCTTCCCTGTTTGAATGCCAACGAGGTGCTTGGCATGCTATAGGGATAACTTAAACCTAGCCCTTTTTTCAAGAGCCCGAGCTGGGCCCTTG